TATTAATGATTTTTCTAATGCTTTTGTTCTTTTTTTTTTTTTAATTAATTAACTTTTCTATTAAATTTTTAGCAAATTTAGGAGGATTTTTTGATGAATTTATATTTTTTTTTTTTTTGACAATTTTAACAAATATTTTTGATAATTTCAGTCACATTTATCATAATAAATAATAAAATATTTCATCTAAAAATGTTAAAATTCAAGGATGGAATAAATAATAACATTTGTGACTAAACATTTTTTTCATCATTTAAATTGAATAAAAAGAATTGTTTGGAATAGTTTTCTTTTTTTCTTTTTTTTATAATAACTGATGAAATGTTATCTTCTAAATGTAAAATTTTGCTTAACAAGGATTAGTTGCTTGCATCTCTTATCATTAAAATTGAAATTATCATTCCAAGTGTTTACCTTATCACTTTCTTCCTATTCTTTTCATGTTTTCTAATTGTTAATTTAAATAACTCCATCATGTCTTCACTTATATCTTATTGTTTCATTTTTCATCCGTTCATTTAAATTAATTTTTTAAGCTATTATTTAATAGAAATTGTTAGTCGATAAATAATTAAATGTAATCATCTTAAAGAGTAATGATAATAAGAGATGATTAGAACCAGTTTTTTATATTCTTGAAATTATTTCATTGTACTTATCGAAGAACACTGATAAATTTGTTGTTATCATTTAATCTAATCACTTAAATAATTCTTTGATTATGCACTTTATCAAATTATCGCTTAACTGCAGCTAATCTTATTTCTGGATGATAGTAACTGAATGAATAGTTTGAGTAAAATTTTCTTTTAAACATCAATTCTTTGTTTATAAGACATAAATGAGTTATGATAGGAAGTGGTTATATTAGAAATTTATTTCCTTTATTATCACATATTTTTTGATATTAAAAAAAAATTACACAAAACTGACAAAACTTTTCAAATATTACTAATTCTGCTTCTAATTAATTTGCTAAATATGAAAAAAAAAATATATCAAAAATTTATTTATTTTTTTTCTCTCCCATTATTTCTTCCCAGCATTTATTGCATATCTGATCGATAAGTATCAGATGCATACTGCAATGATATTTGCAATATGTCAGTGAAATATAAGTTTGAAAATTTTTTAAAATAGCATAAAATTAATAGCAGACAAATTATTCATTAAATTCATAAAAATAATTTATTGAAAAAGTTGGAAGCGAAAAAATTAGAAAATATTTCTCTCTTTCTTCCTCTATCTCTTTCCCAATTCAGTGAAATTCAGAATTGAATAAATTTTAAAGATGAATTCATGTAAAAAAAATAATTAACTTCAATCTGTGTCAAATCTCACTTCAAATTATGCCAAAAGTTAAATTTACGAGTTATTAAAAGCTGTTAGCACAATAAAATTAGTCGTAATTATTTCACTCAACGAATTTGATAGACCATTTTTATCACTTATCATTAATTTCAAAATGATAACAGAGTAAAAATCTTTTTCTTATCACTTTTTGTTTTTACTTTTTTTTTTCACTTACTTATGTATTAGAGTCAAATGATAGTAAAATGGTTTGAAAAGTTCACTGAATATTTTGCACAGAAATTATCGCATAGCTTTTTAAATTGACTTTGTGATTACTTTCCCACTTTTTTTTATATAGTAGAATTTGTTATTTAAAGTTAAGCAAAAATTTTTAGTTATTTAAATTTGGATTTTTAATTTATTTTGAATTAATCAATCACATTTGAATTTCATTTAGGATTGAACCAAAAAATTTTTTCAGTTTTGTTTCATTCACAATTATTATCATTTCTTCATTTTTATCTAATCACTTCTTTTACTTTGCTTCCTTTATTGAAATATTCATAATTTAAATACTTTTTTTTAGCAATTCAGTTGTCTAATTAATTATCACTTAATTGTTAGACGATTGAAATAAAAGTTAACTGATTATTAGCTCATATTATCATCTTCATTTGCTCGTTGCTTCGTTTTCTCTTTTCCATTTGAATTTTTATAAGTTAATTGGTAGTAGCCAATATTGACGAAATAATTTAAATTTGCTAAATTGTACTTTTAAATTTGCTCGTAATAGTAATAATTAAATAATTTTTGATAGTTAAATATCTAATTAACACAATTATATTTTAAATTTGCTATGATCTTTTTAATAATGAATAAGCAAATTTCAAACACACGAAATAACTATTTATTTGTTCACAAAATAATTAGCAAAAATTGCTAAATTGCAAATCTTTTCAAAACAAAAAAAAAAATCAAACGAAAAAAACAAAAAACAAAAAAGGATGAAAATAAAAAATTTGAAAAATAAATAGGCAATGGATAAAAATGTCAAAAGAAAATAACGAAAACAACAATCTTAGAGACAAAATAAATTCCTCAAACAAGTTCCATATTTTACACTAAGGTCTCATCTCAAAACATTGCTTACAATTATAGCATACACACACATACACACACATACACACACATACACACACATACATATACATACACACACACACACATACATACATACACACACATGCATATACATACACACACATACATGTATATAAGCAAAAATTTTTTTTTCTTATTCTAAATAAAAGAAGAAAAGTGAACAAAAAAAAGGAGCGAAATTTGTTTAAATCGTTTCTTTTTTTTACAAATAATTTTTTTTTTTTTTAATTTTGAGATTTATTATTAAAATTGAAAGTTAAAATATTATAGAGGCAGACGAGAGAAACAGAGAAAATTCATAAATATTAAAGTATTTCAGCACAATGATTCCGGATCCGTAAAGCTTTCAATTTCCATTCATTCCCGAATACGTAAATTATTTACTTGCATACTGCCAGAATTGATTGCGTATTTTTCTTTTATTTGATAATGCAGTACGTCAGCATATTCGTATTTCACGGATTTTTGATTGCCCACGTATTACTACGTAATGATAGATAACCAAATGAGAGTAACAAGTGATAATATTGAATGTATATTACGATTGATAGAATTTATGGCATACGTATTTCACGGGATTTTTCACGCTGACAACTCATTTGTGCATTTAATGTGCTATGAATTTTATGTTAAAATAGCGTTTACAGTTGAAAATAAGAACTATAATTTGATAGAAATGATAAAAATGAGACTTCACTTACTTGCGTTACGTTTCACGTCGACCACCTGCCACACGTTTCCTAATAATTCGTATATTTTAGAAAAAGTCATAGCGTTGACAGTTTCAATATGTTTCAATACTTGTAAATGCATTTGAAATTGAAAACATACATGCATTATATTCAATTGTCAGCAATTTGTCAGTAAGTTTAACTGTCTGAATTTTATAATAAATTATAGTTTAAATTAATGAATTTCATTAAATTTAAATAAAACAGTTGGTAATTTTACAATCGAATAAGAAATTGGAGAAATATTCCTTCCAATCTTTTATCCAAATATGTATTTATAATATAATACAACAAAATGTATTTCCGAATGCTTTAAGTACATGTTAATCGGATTAAGACCGGTTATTCCGTATGAACCGAAGACCGAAAGCTTTGAGATACAATCGTTCATTAAGTAGATCGGAGACAATAATTGAATAATTACTTGATGTATGCATTTTGCTGGTCTCTTTGACTGCTCATCTAAAATTCCTGATTTACACTCCACACCCATAAATTTATATTTTCCGGAGATTTGAAGTAAAAATAAATCCGGAAATATAAACAATTTCACTCAACACAAATTCATCTACCTTTTCATTCTATTATTAAAAATTTTTCTTGAAATTAATATTGTTTTTTCATTTTTTTTAAAATGATTTCTGCATCACTGTATTGTATAGTTTCAAAAAAAGAAAATTGGCCATAAATTTTTTTATTCAAAAAATTAAATTAACTTATGACAATTCAAAATAACTCACTAGTTTTTTCAAAACCAATTATATGCAGTATACTTGTAATAAAGTTAATAACACTTTTTTTTTTTTTTTACTTATTTTATTCCTGCAAATGAAAGGTAAAATTTTTTGTAGTAAAAGTAAAATCTTTTTAGAGTAAAATATGATCTTTTTTTGTGAATAAAAAATTAAAACTCTTTCTTTCAATATATGGAAAATGATGTGTGGAAGGAGAAAAAAATTTTTATAAAAGTTTTCAATAGTTATTTATAATGCAATTATGAACTTTACACTTTTAGTTATTAGAATTTTCAATTGATGGAAAAAAAAAATAAAAATAAAATACATATGTTTATATTCCGGAAATATTACAATCGAAACTTGCCTTTTGATAGGTTTATTTCTTCATTCTTTTCCTCTTCAAATATTCCAATTTTAGTTTTTTCCGGTTTTTGTTATCATTCGTTTCTTTTTCCTTTCTTCTTTTCGACACTTCTCGCTATATTGTTTAATCGTTTTTATGATAAAATCCGATTGCTTATCATAATTTTATTCACTTATTCATCTTATCATTCACTGCTTGCTGGAAAAATCAATATTTCCTTCTTTTTTTTTTTTTGTTTTAATTTATATTTTCTGTTATTACTATGATTTTTTGATTATAATCAATTTTTATACTATTTAAAATTATGATAGATATTATTTCAAAAAAAAAAAAAAAAAATATTATTTTTATAAGACAAAATCTATTTTAAAAAAAAACCTATTTAAGGAAACTTCTTAGAAGAAAAGAAATACATCAAATTGAAATTGAATTTTTTCAAATTGATTTTTTTCAAATTGATTTTTCAAATTTTTTTTTTCAAATTTTTTCAAATTGAATTTTTCACTGCATTAGAAAAATTGAAGATTTAATTTTTTTTAATCTGTTATAAGAATTAAATGAAATTCAGAACAAATTAATTTTAATATCAGAAAAAAGCCTTTTGTCTTTGTAAACAATTTTTAATGTCAAATAAAATCATTTGGATTCAATGAAAGTGAAAAGATTAAAGTTTTGCAAAATTTATTCTTTTTATTTTTTGCAGGAAAAAAAAAGATGCTTCTTGACATGCTCAAATTATTAGTGTCACTCATTGTCATCGTTCATGTCATCTGTGTGACATCATTTTCATTACTTTCTCAAGCACCTCTTGATGAACAGAAACGTTTGTTTCCTTCTTTAAAAAAAAAGAAAAAAAAATTAATTTAAAATTTAATTGTTTACATTTTTAGATTTGTAGTTGGTTTTTGAGTAAAATCTTTTCATGCTAAAATTTTATTCTTTTTTTTCTATCTTTTAAAAATCGATTCGTTTATTCTATTCGATGAATGAATGATTGTTCTGATATACTAGATGCTAACTTAAGAAAAGTAAACTTGTCACGACAAGATGACATAAATCTTGAAAATTACTTGGATGCTTTGATCAATTACAATACAGTAGCGAATCAAATGCAATAGAATGGATGTCAATGTTTCTTTTAATATTAGTTTAATTTATTTTAAACTAACATTTTTCTAGGTGTGTTTTTTTTTTTTTTTTTTTAAATCTGAAATTTATGTTTTGAATTTAGTTCTACGATAAAATTTAAATTTGATATTGAATTCTTGTTTAGGTGAAAATTTGTGGCGTCGTCGTGCAATTGCTAAGCTATGGGAAGAAAGGAGACACATGGGAAGGACACCAATGTTTAAATTTACAGTAATGATATGCATGCATCATATATACTAGTACTGTATGGAGTGTTTTTAGTAGGAAAATAGAATTTATTGATATCATATCATTTGCACGAGAGATTGTATAAAAATATGAGAGTGAAGAGAGAGAGGGAGGGAAAAAAGTAATAATAATTTATTTTCAAAAATGTTACTTAAAAAAAGAAATGAATGTCTTTTTTTTTTATAATAATTATTATTTCATCTAAGAAAAGTTAATTAATACTTGTATATTTCAAATTATCATATAATCGATTATTTTCCTTTGCAAATAACTTTTTGCTTTCATTTTTCTTTTTATTAATTTGTAATTTTATTCAGAGTCCAGGCTATGAGAATGTTGATTTTGTGTTCAAGAATGAGTCAGCATCAAGGACAGGTAGTTTAAAGCATCGTTATTCCTGGGCATTAATAATGTGGGCTATTGTTGATGGTAAAATTGGCGAGAATACGACTGTTTATGAGGCAAGTTCCGGGAATACAGCAGCAAGTGAAGCATATATGTGTCGCTTAATTGGAGTAAAATTCATCGCTATCGTAGGTATTTCTTTCATATTTTACTTGGGAAAAAAATGAAAAAATATTTGAAAATATTTTTTCTTTTAAATTTATTTTTAATTTCCTTTAAACTTTTTTTGCTTTCAGCATTGTAATATGTTACTTAAAATTATATAAAATTTAGCTTTTTGGAAATTAATTTTTCAACTCTTATAATTTACCATTTTCAATTTATATTCATAACAGTAAGCACTCAAATTGAAAACTGATTCAATCAAAAAAAAATTTTTTTCTTTTTTTGCATATTGAAATTGATATTTTTAATATGAATTAAACTGTTTTATAAATTAGACATTAGGGTGATAAAATGATGCAAATGTCAAATATTAAATCAAAGGTAATTTACAGGTACCAAATTCAATCGAACAAGTAAAAGTTGAACATATTCAATCGTATGGTGGCGATATAATTAAGACAGATTTAGGTGATCGATTAATTAGAGCTAAACAAGAAGCCATAAGAAACAATGGCTTTTTCATGAATCAGTTTGCTAATTCGGATAAGGCTGAGGAATATCATGAAAGTAAGTATTTCAGGTTGAGGAAAAAGTCTGATACTGATCATTGGTAGAATTTAGGCAAATTTTAAAATCTTGAACAGGTAAAAAATCTTGACCAGTTCTTGACTGATCAATTTAAATCTTGACCAGCTATCATTTTATCATTTTGTGTTATCATTTTAACATATTTCTCAAAAATTGATAGGACGTATAAACTATTTGTAATGTTTATAAAACAAGCATTTATTATTTATTTATTTATTTAGATAACATTACTTGTAGACAAAATTGAATCTAACAGAATATTATCACTAATTTCTAATTTACAGTTATTACCTGAATTACCTTTCCGTATTTTACGAAAATTTCCTACTTTTCACTTTCCGAATATATTCATACATGTATGTAAACTAGCCAATTGTTATCAAAAATTGGAACAGTAAATTAATTTCTATTTTTTCTTGTTCAAATATCTCATAAATTTCTCTTCTGTAAAGGAATAATTTCATAAAATTTTCGAGTAAAATCGAAATAATATCGTTCTTAATTTTAATTATTCTATATAAATAATTTAGATTTTAATTACTTTAGCTTAATTAATTCGAATTATGACAACATTTCTGCTGATTTCAGAAAACTTCAGTATCTTGAAATTTACTCTTCCAGATAAATGTCTGAAAGAGAAAAAAAGTTGTGAATGATGAAAAGTGCACCTTATCAGTAGTAGTTCTGATTAATATATCTTCGTCTGATAAGCTACTTTGATCGCTGATAAATTGATTTTAAAATGTTTAGGTGGTAATTATCCATTGGAAAGTGTTAATTTGATGCATGAAGTGTTGGCTCAAATACGAGAGGACCTGAACCAAACGATCGAAGAGCCAAATTATTTTGTTCATTCTGCTGGGACTGGTCCATATTTTCATCAGTTTTATTTCAACTTTTTTTTTTTAAACATTTCCATAGAAATACATATATTTGGATTTCGGTGATACTATTGGTTTTGTGATGAAAAACTTAGAAATAAAGTATGATGAGAAGGTGGAGATAAAAGTATGAGTAATTATTAATTCTAAGTCTAATGAAAAGAAATTCAAATTATCTGAAAATACCTAATTGTTTGGTTAGAAGGAAAAAATTATAACATAAATTCCTATTCCATAGTGAACAAACAATTATGATAATTAGTTAGCAATTAATTATTTTAAATAAATTTCCTTTCATTTCCTTGTTTTGTTTAATGTTGGTAAATTTTAAAATTTTAATTTAATTACAAATACAATAAGATAGTTGTTATTGTATTAAAAATTTGACCAAAAAAAAAAATGAATCGTTTTTTTTTTTTTTGTTCTTAAGTGATAATATACATTTACAGCAATGAAAAAAAAAAAAGAAAAAAACTGGAACTGTTGAATTTAATTGATAAGAAATTATTAATTAATGGCTTTTACCTTTACAGGTGGGACAATATCATCCATTGGACGATATGTTAAAAAATACGGTCTGAGAACAGAAGTTGTACTCGCTGATACACAATTTTCGGTGTATTATGATTATGTTATGAATGGACGATTTACAAATGAAAGCGGTAGAGATGTCTGGGTGATACCTGGGATGGCAGGTATCGGATTCGGTGTTATGGGACCGGTGAAACATGGTGTCACATCGAGGTAACTGTGCTGTAACTTGTGTTCTGTCGAGAGCGAAGCTTATTGCTTTAAGATTTAATGATCAAAAAATTTATTTATGAAATATTGGAATGAAATTTGATGTCTGCTGCAAAGAATGCTGTTATTTGTTTGTTTATTTATTTATTTATATACCTAATTATTTACTTTATTATTGTTATTAATGATTATACAATTATGAATAAAACGCCACTAATTTTTGATAATAATCAAAGAAGAAAATGCGATATTTCTTGATTCATTCATTGATTAAATATTAAGCAATTATTTACTAACAATTTGCTAAAGGTACAAACTTCAGTTTATTGCGGGCGGTAATTGACAGAGCCATTAAAATTCCTGATATTGCATCGACCGCAGCAATGGCAGTTCTGAAACGATTAGGCATAAACGGTGGTACCAGCACTGGGGCTAATTTCATAGCAGCACTACATCTGGCTGCAACACATGAGTAAATAAAATTTGTTTATTTGTTTGTTTATTAGAGAAAAATAAGAAAGTATAAATAAAGGAATAAACGATGAATGAATTAAAAAGAACTAATTTATTATTATAATTTGATATGAACTTTGATACGTCTACTACTACTGCTAGTATCTTTCCTAGCAATTATTTTGATTTTGTATTTAAAATTGCAATCAAAATTTGGTGTCTAAATTTATTAATCATTAGTGATATGATAGCAAATATAATTAAAAGTATTATAATTATTGTTTAAATAATTATACATAGCTTTGATATTATAAGAAAATTTTAACTAAATATAAAAAGAATTTAATTAGATTCGGATGCAAAATAAGAATCTGAAACTTATTATTAGTTTAAATTATTAATCAAAATCATTCAAAATATTTGCCAAATTATTTAATAATAAATTTTCAGCAAAGCTTCACTCTTTAACAATAACAGTCAACGATTAATAATTGCCACAATATTGGGTGACACTGGTGATTACTACGAGTCATCGTACTACAACAGAACATGGATCAGTGAAAATTTCAACGTTCACGGTGGACTGGCAGTGTATGACTGTTGGATTAAGGTATACCGCTAATCTAAGTAATTAATATAATTAATAAAATATTTTGAGCGGAAGAGAATTTTGATAAATTTTGAATTAATTTTGATAAATTCAATTTCATACAAATATTATTAATTTAAATATTATAAGCTTGAAATTATAAAAGTAATGAATTTAGCTACTGATTACTTCACAAATAATTGCTCATTTTTCTAACTTTTTAACATCATTTTTCTTTTTTTCATTTTATTTAAAATCTCACAAAATTAAATTTTCTTCATTTTTCCCATTTGTTTAAAGGAAAAAGAAATGTCACATGTTATGAAGTCGAAACGAAAAAAAAAAGCTATTTTAGGAAATTGAGGAGGCATTTAAATTTGGATCAGATCCACTGATTTCCGGACATGAACGATGTGATCAAGCTAATGCGGTTAACATGATCGATTTCCGGAGTCGGCGAACAACATGTTGCTTGTAACTCATTCAGTTTCGCATTTCTTTTTGCATTTTTTACTTCCTTTAATGCTTCTGTTGGAATTGAATACGATTGATTATAATTCTGATTTCAATTTCAATTTTAAAATGGTTTTGAATTTTCAGGATTAACTTTAGCTTTAGCTTTTCTTTTTTTTCGAAATAATTTTGCAACATTCTTTTTTTTCTCTTTTTTCTGAATATTTTGGATAGTATCATTTTCTAAATAGTGCAGTAATTAGTGATATTACTAGGTGAAAGATTGTCAACACAAAATGACAAAGTAATGGAGAAATTTGCAAACATAGAATGAAATATTTTGCATTAAAATTTAACTTAACTTAATAATATTTTACACATAAAATCAATAAATATATTTCCATCACACTTATTAATGTAATTATAGAACACTTTTTTTTTAAAAAAAAAAGAGATTAAATTGTCCAAAAAATATTCTCTTGGTATAAAAATTTAATTTGTACCAATAAGAACTCATTGTTAACTCACATCTGAAACATTATTGTTTCTCTTCTTTTATTTTATTCCAAATCTCGACTAAATTAAGAAATTAAATTATCGAATTCAGTTCCAGTTTTCATTTATCAAAGTCATTCTTTTGAGTGATGAGCTGCTGTGAAGAAATTTGGTGGATAATATGCTTCGCCCTCAAATACCCATGGCTTTTGCTGTGGCAACTAAAAAATACATTCATCGAATAATTAATTTTCATTCTAAAAATGAAAAATATTTTTGGTTAATTTAATTAATAACAATTTACTTAATGTATTATTGATTTTTACTTCTATCAATTATTAACATTTCATTATTATCATTTCATGAATATCTTATTATCATTGAATCATTCTAAATTGATCTGAGAGAGATTGACACTGTCAACTTTATACAATTTCCATCTATGTTTACCTATATCATTTTCTTTTTTTTTGAATTATTTTTTTTCTCAATTAAAAAGAAAAAATTTTGATTAATTGATTAATAGTAATTAATTTAATATTATCGAAAAAGAATGCAACCGTACAATAATATCAATGATAACTGTTAAAATTTTGGTATGAATAAACTGATTATCATACTTTATGGCACAGTTAGTGCTTTTTTCGATTTCTACTAATCAAATTTCTAAGTTACATTAATTCTCATTATACTTTGAAATGCTATTTACTTTAAAATAAATTATTTTAAAATGCTATTAGAATGGTTAAAGAAATATATGATTTAAAATATTTTTCCAAAAATTAGAAAAATTTTTAAAATTACTCGAAATTAAAAAGAATCAAAGTGTAAATATCGGGAAAAAAGTTTTAGATTTGAAAATTCATGCATATTAAATGAAAAAAAAAAAAAAAAAAGGAGAAAGAAATATGGATGTATAAATGAAATATTTGAAACAATAAACAGTCGAACCACTTGTTTATCAAATGGACCCCATTCCAATCCAGTTTCATTTGGTTTGTTAAAATTTTTCTTGCCTTCCTACAAAAGTTCAAGGTTAAGGTTAAACTTTCGGGTAGTTATCATATAGGTGCTTCTATTGGTGTCCTTTTGGTTCTTTTGGTAACTAACATATACAGGAAATGTTGATGAGAGAAGAATTTAAAACAAAATGTGGAAAAATAACTTCAATATATTACCTGAACTTCAACCGGAGATACAGCTGATATTGTCGGTGTAGCTGTTTTTGCTGATAAAAGTGGTGAAGACTGAGGTGCAGGAGGTGGTATTGGAGGTACAGGTGACGGTAACTAAAGGAAGGAAAAAAAATTAATACTAAGACCTGAATTCGTGGAATTGGCTCGAAGTTAAGATGAAAGTTTCAGGAATATTCATCGTACGGTGCCTTGGCACTGTTTTGGTACCATTTCAAAAAATATGATAAAAATGAATTTAGAGTGAAATATAGAAATGACTTTAATGCATTACTTTAACTTCAACCGGAGATGCAGTTGATACTGTTGGAATAGCTGTTTTTGTTGATGAAACTGGTGAAGGCTGAGGTGCAGGAGGTGGTATTGGCGGTGCAGGAGGTAGTACTGGCGGTGCAGGAGGTGGTATTGGCGGTGCAGGAGCAGAGGACGACGGTGTCTTTTTGAAATTAATTTCTTTCTCTTCAATGACAATTCTTTCCTTTATATCATCTTTCTTGCTTACTTTCACCTGTCAAAGATATTGCTATAAGCGGAAACAATTTATCTGAATCTTTACTTTAGTTAATTGCCAGTAGAAAATGAGAATTATAATTTAGAAAATAATCCAAAAATAAATTTCTAATAACACTTCATCTAAAATTATGGACAATATTGAGAGTTCATTAGAGTATATGAGACACAAACAGGTGCAAAGCAGAAACATTACATTACAGTCTTCTATTATGTTAAACGAAAGATAAAAATCAAAGATGCCTTTCCCTGTATTCCAGCATTTCAATTTCAGTAAAATATTAGTGAGTAAGAAATAATTAAATTAAATTCCACCGAACACCTTTCTCTGACTTTTACTCTTCCTAAGATTTCTTCTTTTTTCCTCTGATTTCACTTTTTCCAGTTTTTGCCAAAGAAGCCATATGAGTAAAGCACAAATTGTACACAGAATAAGATCCAAAGCACTCATTTCATCCCAAACCAACCACCGTTCCTTACTATATGTAAAAAAGTCAATGACTTCAGAAGGAAACATGAAAGAATTTAAATGATAACTTCACTCCTAACTCTCCATTTGTTTCTTGATCTGTCCAGAAGAAATTTGAAAACATTTCGGAACAACTAACATATGGCAATTTTAACGAATTCATTTTAACTTTACAAAAATTTTGCACAACAGTACTTAGTTAAACTGAAAGGAACTTCAATTTCGATTTTTAGGGTTTTTAAATCAGATTTAAATCTCCCATTCGTGTATCGAGAAATTTAGGCTGCTAGAAAATTAATAAAGTGCACCAAAGCATCTGTTCATTTTTATTTGAACGAAAAATGCATTCATCAATACTACCACAGTCACTCGATAATTACATTTCTCATTGTAAAAGTAAATTTTGTTAGTGCAAAGCAAATATTTTGGGTATGTCATCATCAGGATTACTCGGTCTATAAATGAAACACTTCACTAACCGAATGAAACGATGCAATGCCTCTTCAAACAGTCTTCAACACTAAATGCTAAACAACTTCGTCAAAACAGACAAATGTTCGGTTCGTTAAATATTCAATTATTCTGACAAAAACCATGGAAAACTAATAATAACCATTAATGATAATAACTAAGGTAAAGTAACATAAAATGAATTAACCTTCTCTCGTAAAATAAATTCTTAGAGGTTTAAGATTATTCGCGACACCTATATTGCTGTGGCAGCAAAAACTTGAATTAAGAAGTTAAGTAAGGATATAAACAAAGTTTCCAAAAGAGGCCACTTCAAATTACAACAACCACAAGCAGTGACAGCAACATCTTGTGTGTCAAATTGTTAACCATCATCAATATCATCATCATAACTTTCACTTTTTCATCGACATATTATCTATCACTTCGAGAGATTAACATCGAAAAAAAGATAAAGTTGAATGAGATCGAGAAGAAAAAGAATTTATCAAGCCTTAATACTTAAAATTATTTTCCACTCGTTTCAAGCTTTATTTTTGGTGGTTTAAATGCTGTTCCTTTCAGTGATTTTCCTTCGTATTCTTTTTTTGCCTTCTTTGCCATGAATTGTCTCCATGTACCTCGACGTTCATCACGTGACTCCTTAAAATTGATCAGTTCTAATGCAAACTCTCAATAATAATTACCCATAAAGATCTATTCCCTATAAGCATATAAAACATCAATTAGAAGAAAAATGAAGATTAAATTCAGTGTGACCAAAACAGAACTATTTTTGTAAGAAAGGACCGAACAAATAATTTCAAAATCACTTTCAATTTTTGTCTTTTTTCTTCAATTTTAAATACTTGAAACCATGACAATTTAAACAACATTAAATTAAATCAAATGACTATTCGAATTTACTTTTTTCTAAAAAAATTACTTCATAATTTTTAGCGAATTCTTCCTCTCTTTTCCTTTTTTCTGCAGCTGCAAGCATTTCCTCTGCTACCCTTCTCCTGAAATACATCCACAATTAATTTTAATCTCAAGAGCAGCAAAGCAGATAAGACAAACTAGTTTATGTCTAAGAAGACCACATCATTGCTCAGCAAAGTCTCAATAACATCATGAATAACTGTACTGAATACTGAAATTAATAATCAATTTACTCCATAAATAACATATTGTAAATTGTACAACAAAACTGAATGTTACGAAAGAATGAACTGACTTCTCTTCATTTGCTCTGTCTTCCAACATTTTCCGCTTTTTCTCACGATCAGCAAACACCTAAACATCAAGAACTTAAGCATCAAGAAGAAGAAAAGCAGAAAACACACATTACAAATACAGAAAAAGTACAAAATTCCAATTATAAATTAAATTGATCATTTCAGAGACAAAATACGATAATGTTCATTAGCTGATAAAAAAGTGATTTGTTATAAAGCTTTGTTTTACATCCCACTTATGCGAAAAAACCAAAGACGAATATGACACTTTTTTGTGTCCAAAGTATCGAAGTGGAAAGGCAAGAGACGGCAGTAACGTTCAGAAACAAAATAAATAGCAAACCTTCGTGACTACCACCCAAAGAGCTTTATTGTACGCAGCTGGTTCATCTTCAGGTATTTTATCTCCTTGACCATTCTTCTTTTGCTTACGTCGTTTTTCGCTCATCTGTAACTCAACAGTATATAAATGATAATGCAATTAACCTTTAATCATGTATGGTCAATAAATGAAACTGGTGGAAGAAATTAAAATAAATCCAACTTAAGAAATTACAATAAAATTCAAATAATTTAACTTTTTTCCTTAAAATCATGCATGGCAAAATGTAGATGTAATCGTCGACAACTTCACTGGCTCTTAATACTTTATGAAATTTCTCAATTTCAGTTTTTAAAATGCTTAAACTACAATTGTCACAAATACCGAGCTCCAAGTGAAACTCATTATTTTATGTAAGCTTATATATTTATTGGAAATATTGGCACTAGTTTCATTAACAATGAATACACTGAGAATGCAAATCAAGAACTGATTTAAGTAATGCAGAATTAAAGTGACTTAAGCTTACAATGATTGCTAGACGAGCTCTTGCTTCTGTATAAGTTTCCCGACATTTCGCCAATTCATCTGGATCTTCGATCATTTTTATAGCCTTTTTCACTACTGAAATCATATTGTGCATTGCAGTACAACTGCCATATCCAATAAACTTATTTGATAGAGAAATTTTATAACTGACTTATCAGGAAAATTTCCTGATTATTTGGAAAAAAGTTCGGCTAAAAAATTCAGCCTTCTAGGAAACTTCCATTATTCCATTAGATAGAATATGAGTTATTCATTCAAATGAATCAAATGGAAATTATCTTCGCCCAACACGATCGAAGGAGGGAAAGAGAATAACGAGAAATTCATAAAACGTAATTACATGAGCTCCTAAATTTGAAATTAATTTTAGGTATTCCAAATCTCTTTGGAAAAAAAAATTTCTTACCATCAAATGCACGTTCAGCTCTTTCACGATCATCGGTATTTTTGTCCGGGTGAATAAGCAAAGAAAGCTGTAAAATCCAGAATAAAGGAAAAATTGAAATAGAAATACTGAAGGAGTCAAAAACTCCTGAAGAATACGGGTTTACAAATCAAAGATTAATGCCAAAAACTAGATTAATGCTAAAAAGAACTAAAAAGTGCTCATCACGAAACCTTATTTCTTGATGAAAAAGTCGTTACCTTTTTATACTTCTTCTTAGCCGCCTCAACATCTGTATCTGGATCAATTTGCAAAACCTGAGGAAGAGAAAACTATACGATTCAGTACAGATCTTACTTGATTCAATAATTTAATCGCATTTAATTCAATGGAATTCAGTGAATCATTGCAGTAATTTCGTCACTGTAGATGCTGATGCATAAACCTGTCCTTAATGAACAGTTACCAGACTACCTAATTTCTATTTGACATCAATGATTTGAATCAATTGATCCTTAGTCGATGAAGCAATAATGTCTCTCAGGAGGTTACTTAATTCATCGTCATGCATAGGATAATAAAACCCGTCAACTGCTCCGCTATAATAAAAGATCAGATTAAGCAAGAACCAAATTTTCTATGAACAGTTACCAGAATTAAACAGTGTAATGCACACAAGTAATCATAAACTATCACCTCAAAAGGATTTAAATTCAGGTAAGTGGAGCCAGGACGTAATAAGCGATCAATTTGTTGCTTTGACGTTAATACCGAGTCTCTCTTCTCGGTTTCTTTCAACTAAAACAATAAAATTTTTTTTTCCAGAAAAAAAAAAAAAACTTTAAGTCAGACTAAACTTCAAAAAGTACAGAAAAATCAGACTAACATCACTGTAAAATCGCTCAAAGTCGGATGAATCCCCCATGATGCATCAGTGTATCATTAACAATGCCAAATGTTTATGCGATTCTTTGTATCCTAGACATTTTAATTAATAAAATAAAAGAATGTTCTGTCCGATTCAGCTTGATTCAACACCAAATTACTTAACCTGACTTTTAAGAGATATAAAAAACAGGTCACAGTACTTAGAGACCTTTTATTTAGGGGACCAAGCCACTGCTACCGAAATTCGAATTCAGTAGAACCACTTGTCACTTAATTACAAAAACATTTGACCATAATTAGAGGGAAGTGAAAGTTTTCTCAGTTTTGACAATTTAATAGCTGCTCAGATTAAAATGTCAGACCAGATAATACATATGCATTGACAATATATCCAGAAATGAAACCAGTGTAATCAAAAAACTTTTCAGAAACTCTTTACTTGACGAAAGTTTAGAAATCCATAAATGTATGCTCTCCTAAGTGCTTTTAAAGCAGAACGAAACGTTTAGAGTAATAACAATAACTTAAAGTTCAATACCAATTTAAATCAAAACCATTATGAAAGCAAAACTGCACGAGACGATATGAAATAAGCATTAAGAAAACAAAAGTCTCTCAGGAAAACAAAAAATTCCAGTAAAATTTCATGCAATTCCACTTTTTTTTTTGAGGTCATTCCACACTGAAAAACAAGCATTAACTAGAGTGTGACAATATTATAGGCAGCATCACCACTGAGATCAATTGATATCTTTCGATTTGAAAGGAACTGTCGATAGCGAACCTAAAAAAATTTATCTGATTACAAACCATTTCAATTTAAATAAAATATTTCACTTTTTTAATACACCACTTTGACCTTGTTCTATTAACTTCGCTTTTTAGACTTACTGAGTATCATAACTATAGCACGAAAAATTTCGATTGTTCTAAAAACCGGGAATAGCACCTAGAAAAATATCATACAGTTATCAAAATCGCTGAAGCCAAACAAAGGCGTAAAAAAATGAAAATGTAAACTGATTACCCCGGCCAAATCAAACATTCTTTTTGATGCAATCGTATTCACTTTCTTCTCTTTTTCTCTTTGAAACACTACTTCACTTATACCAGCCTGGAATTATCCTACAGTTCATTTTGAAGTATTCCATCTGATAATCAGACAGTTTAAAAAAATTAAACCAAAAGGAAAGTAAGTAGTTATATTTATAACTCCATCAAGTCTCTTTCAGAAAATTTAGTATATCCAAGGAGATCTTTACCTGTATGATAAGTTTAGCACATTCATTGCATGGAAACAGGACAGTGTAAATTGTTGAACCTTTAATTGAACCCACAATCTTATTCAGTATTGCATTCAATTCTGCATGGCATACATAGGCGGATTTATTTTCCAAGAAATTCTCGGGATCTTTGCCCCATGGTAGTACATCATCTGAACAACCGGTTGGCATCCCATTATATCCGGAGCCAACAATCCGTTTATCTTGGTTTACAATTACGGCTCCAACCTACAACTGTTGCTTCAAACTGGACTTCGGTAGTTATTTTCATCATAAAAGCAAACAATTCCTTTCGGAAAATTAGTTACAATATTAAATAAAAAGTATGCTTCTATAATTTTTATTCCGAAATAATATTAAATACATTAAACATTTAAAAAAATATTATTAAGCAGTAAATTTGCGAGAAAAACAAAGCAAAAGAAAAAAAAAAAGAAATTAAAAAAAATTACATATTATAAATTAAAAAGAAAAAAACTAATAAAAGAAAATTATATGCAATAAAAATATATCAGAGCACTCTAATAGCTTAATCCCAACCCATCAAAACTTAAAACCTCCATAATTAATAAGATAGAAGTAAAAGTGAGACACAGTATTTGGACGACAAATATACCTGCGTTATTGGATCTTTACTCCGCAGTGCAGCCATATGTGCTACGCCCATAAAGTATTCTTCCCAAGAAAGGTAATCATTACGCTTTACAGCATGATTGCAAATCACATTGTCAGACTGATGACCACTGTCGGAAAAACCGAAATAAATTCGTAATCGAATATGTAGTCATCTCAAAGTCATATATTTTGAGCTGTTAGTCACTTCCACTACCCATTAATAATATGTAATGTCTCTGAATATGGGAAACTGAAGAAATAAAACGTTAAGGTGAAACTTACTTAATAGCTGCTGTCGTTGTGCCAGTAAGTTTAACACATTCGTTATCGATGGATCCAACAACTGACGTCATCCTACTAATTCTCAAGAAATCCCGAAACGAGAAAAACTAAACACGTAATTCTCATGAATCAATAGCTCGAAGGATTTCATGCAGCCTTGTGATGAAAATTTACGGTTCACTTTTATGAAATTCATAGCATTGAATTTTGATTGACAAAGCATAATTGTAACAGGTTGCAACTCAGGAAATGATGGATATTGAAGAGATTTTGCAGTGGTGGATTCTATCTAATGTTCGAATTATGTTTTTTAATCACAACGTTTAGCATATATGTTTGCGTACGTCATAGATTTAGTACGTCGGTCACGTTAAGGTGAATGTGAAGATGACATATAACGTATTTTTTATATTTATTATATCTATTGTTTTTATTTATTAATATTTATGTTTTTTTTTTCCTTTAATTTTAATGTGTATTCAAGGTTGCTTATATTATAGAGCAAATGTACACTGTTAACAGTCAAAAAAAAATTCAACAACGAAGTGAAAACTCAAAACGTCACGTTTGTTTGTAGGACGTCACGTCACACTGCTTTTTATTTATGAGAAATTGGAATATTTCTTGTTCTGTAAAAGATTAAAATTTCGCATGAAGAAAGTCTTTTGATCTGTTGCTTGTTTTTAACTGTGCTACGCACGCCATTCTTACGTGAGATATAGATCAACGTGAATATTTAAGGCCCTCATTAATCTAATTGCTGTGTACTGTGAAAATTAAAATACTGCAAGGCTTAAAAACTTATTTTGAGATCAAATCAATATATTATTAGCAGAATTACGATTTCTCCGTGTTAAAAGATGTCATTTAGATGTAATATTGTAAAGAATGTTTCAACGTTAGCACACCTGTGTCGACACGATCCACATATGCCGTGAAGAATTACGTGAGTTACGCTTGTCTTAAAAGAACATCTCACGTGGACAATAAGCAGAGTGGTACTTAATCAGAATTATGAAGACAATAAGGGATATAATATAGTCGTAAATCTTCAATGTAATGATTACGTCACAATGTGACTTTCAAAAATTCTTTCCGTCTTCAATATGATGTTTGCATCACACGCAGTGTTTACGCACGTTAAATACTCTGCGTAGCTGATATTTAATATGCACACGCAGTGTTTACGCACGTTAAATACTCTGCGTAGCTGATATTTAATATGCAGATATTGATTCTAACAACAGGGTGGTAAAGCTGTTGTAACTGTCATCTGTAATGTTTACGTACGTCAAATATTTGATTCTACAACAGGGTGGTAAAGCTGTTGTAACTGTCATCTGTAATGTTTACGTACGTCAAATATTTGATTCTACAACAGGGTGGTAAAGCTGTTGTAACTGTCATCTGTAATGTTTACGTACGTCAAATATTTGATTCTACAACAGGGTGGTAAAGCTGTTGTAACTGTCATCTGTAATGTTTACGTACGTCAAATATTTGATTCTACAACAGGGTGGTAAAGCTGTTGTAACTGTCATCTGTAATGTTTACGTACGTCAAATATTTGATTCTACAACAGGGTGGTAAAGCTGTTGTAACTGTCATCTGTAATGTTTACGTACGTCAAATATTTGATTCTACAACAGGGTGGTAAAGCTGTTGTAACTGTCATCTGTAATGTTTACGTACGTCAAATATTTGATTCTACAACAGGGTGGTAAAGCTGTTGTAACTGTCATCTGTAATGTTTACGTACGTCAAATATTTGATTCTACAACAGGGTGGTAAAGCTGTTGTACTGTCATCTGTAATGTTTACGTACGTCAAATATTTTGTATGATTGATTTTCCAATGCAAATTCACAAATTATTCGTTTTTTCTTTTACTGAAAAATTGCAACACTGTAACAATGAAACTTTCCGCAATAAAAATAGCAAAATGAAAGTGTACAGTTCGAGAATAACCGAAAAAGAAGGAAAAAAAAGTGGGAAACAATTATTAAAGCTGTACACATCAAGAAAATAAGAAAATAGAACAAAAGAAGAGAAATGATATGCTCAAATGATTGATAAAAAGTTAAAGTCAGGTCAGACAATAATGATAATAATCAATAATAATAATAATAATAATGTTGTGAAGAAAAGAAAAAAAAATGAAATTTGATTTTCGAACCGAAGAAATTAATAGCATTCTTTGACGATTATAAGAAAAAAGGCAAAGTATTTGAAGAGGAATTTTTTAAAAAGTTACACTATTTGAATTTCTTAAATCAAATAAATTTGTTGAAAATATTCATTTAATTGTTGTTTTTTGTTTGAATTTCTATATGATCCATGCAAATTTTTATTTAATTATTTATTCAATTATTCTATTTAACCTAACATTTTGTGAGTAACTTTTTTTAAGAAAATTTAATACAAATTTTTTAAAAAAAAAAATGTTCGCAATGAATAATTGCATTCATTAAGTGTGCAAATAGTTTCGTCCTGAAATTTTCTTTCAAAAATTCCTTAAAAAAAATTCGAAAGTTTGGCATCCGATGAATCAACTCATATTACAATAATTTTTCGGAATTCCAATAATTTGTGACACACACATACATACATACATACATACACACACACACACACATACATACATACATACATACACACACACACACACACACACACACACACACACACACACACACACACACACACACACACACACACACACACACACACACACACACACACACACACACACACACACACACACACACACACACATACATACATACATACATTACGAAAAAGAGAAAAGAAAGAACAAAAACTGAATGATCGATCACAAAGCATTTGAATCACAATTTTGTTTACCGATAAAAATTAGCAATGTTTGTTTGTTTGTTTGTTTGTTTGTAGTGAAAAAGAAGAGACAGTGAGTAAGGTGAAGTTAAGCTAAAAGGAAGAAAATTTCAAATTTTTGTATAATATTTTGATATCATTTGTATATAGGAATATTTTATCATTTGTATCAAATTATATTTACATATTATCATTTCGTATTTGGAATTCAGAAATAAATTAAAATTAAAAACCGAAATGCTTTTGTTTGAAAAAAGAGAAAAAATAAAGGAAATTAAAACTAATTAAAATTTCTAATTGAGCTTTAATAGTAACCTCATAAAAGTATTACTATTTATATCCGTTCATTTGCTAAAAATATTTGATAGTAATAAGCCGAAATCACATTTTTCAATAATTTTATTGAAATTTATTTCTCCTCATTTATATCAGACTTTACAGTTTTTCTGTTCTTATGCAAATTTTAAAAGTTGATTTAAGCAAGGATAATAATTCGAATTTTTAGTGGAAGGATTACACTAATTGTGTTGAGAAATTTAATGTTTAAGGGAACTTAAAATGTGATATTTTTCTGAATTTGGTGGAAATTAAATTAATAAGGCAAAATACTTCTCGCATCAATGATTAATTTATCAAATAAATTAGAATTAATTATAATCAAATAAGTTATTTTGTATTTTATTTATTGTAAAATTAAAGACGAATACTTCAATAAAGCACCAGAAACCATAATAGAAATAATAATGGAATGAAAAAACAAGAAAGAGAGAGAAAGAGAGAAAGAGAAAAAAATGGAATGAAAAAAAATTCTTCTTCACAAATGGGATACTATCAGTGAAAGTGATAAAGAAAGAATAGCACTGAAAACAAGCTCTTGTGGGGTATTTTTATTTAATTTAAAGATATCGCTGGCAATTTATTAATTTAAAATTTTAATTTTCTATTGTTTGGTATCAATTTCTTTTCTCTGAAATTTCAGAATTGCTACGTTTTCCATTTAGTTAGTGGCTGGACTGAAAGATGAGCAAAATTTACTTATTCAACAAAAATTGGTAAACTAAAAAGGATGGAAAAACTTTTTGTGATTAATTATAAATTATAATTTACAGATTTATTTTATTCAATAATTTGAAAATTAAATTTCCAACCGTAACAATTCTTTCAGTTCTGGTTTTTTCTTTTCATTAAGTATCCTTTGCAAAATTAAATTCATCCATAAATTTTAGATCAAATCAAAAAGAAGTTACCCGCGATATCTTGCAAAAATCAAAAATGCTAACTTCTTATAAAAGTCAAAAATTTGAAACAATCAAAGAAATACTTTCATTGTTTTCTCATTTCATCGTCTATAACTATGCACTGAATTGCACAACCTGACTTTATCACCATCCTGGTACTACCGGTTTAATTTCCGATGATGGGTATAATCCACGTATCGGCCGATATGTTTCATCCTGAAATGTAAAATATAAAAAAGAATTTGAAATATTTTCGTGAACACAAAAATTTCAGCTACATTTTGCTAATTTATTTTTCAAACTACCATTTAACAGTTTCTACTAGCATATTTAAAAATGTTTTTCTAAAAAGTTGCAAAAATTTTAAATTAAAAAAGGCAGATGAAACCTCCGTTATTCGGTAAACATTTGGTGATTAATTGAAATCATTCGGAAAATATTCTATTCGTGTGATTTTTTAATGATAAAAAAGCAACTTTTGCGTTTTATTCGATATATCAACGAAAAGGAATGAATGGATAAACGGAATGATTGTTGCTTAACTCTGCACGATATTCTGCTGGGAATACCGGGAACGACTAACCTTGTCACTCAGAACTATTCCAGCAAACAATATGTTTGACATCGGAACGAAATATTATCTTACAAACTCTTTCGTTTTTTTCTATTCATTCATTCATTCATTCATTCATTCATTCATTCATTCATTCATTCATTCATTCATTCTTTTCCTTTCATTCCTCTCCACAATACCAACAACTATTTTTCATCATTTATTATTTTCTTCTCGTCATCCAAAGGAATGATTCATTTTTGAAAGATATGAAATCAGCGACTTAGAAATATAAACCAAAAGCGCATTTGATCCATTTCCGCTCTCTCACCGAATGACTATTTATTCCATTCACTTTTATTCAAATTTCCGATATGTAAAAAATTGAAACGAAAAGAAAATTCAAAAATATTTGTCAAATTTTTTTCGTTTCCTTTCTTTTTCTTTCATGTACTTTTTTTTTTTTTTTTTCTGAATAAAAACTTATAGTTCATTCCTTTCAATCATTGCAAATTCTCGCAATTTCCGTAAACTATTCCGGTTTGTTCATCCGGATATCACATTTATCTACCATCTATTGGGATTATTTACTATTTGAGTAAAAAATGGCCAAAACATGAATGAAATATATTGCATAAATAAGTTTGGTCTACTCAAAAAATACTGAATGATTAATTACAGCACAGAAATGATAAATGATATGAAAGGAAAATCAGGACGAAATATCCCAGTTAAAATTATTCTAAAATATTTCAATAAAATTCATTTTGGAATATTTCGACAGTTCTCGAATTGTCCTAAAATAATTTCTGACAATAAATCAAAAAATAAGAAACCTGTGCAGCTAATGGCATATTTGGTGAGCTATGTGGAGGTCGTAAACTTTCCTCAAGGAATGTATTATCTGAAATGAAATTTGGCAACAAAATAAATGATAATACTTTTTATCACCAAATGGTATCATTTACTTTAGACATTTACTTTTATTTTCAAGTAAGAATTCACTCAAAACTGTGCAAGCATTTTAAGCTAAATTTTGTTCAGTTCAACATTAATATGAGCAATTAAATATTATTTATTATTTAAAATTGTACATAGTAAAAATTTCTATATAATAGAGCAAACAATTGAACCTTCTTTTTATTAATTTGTGTAAACTAACCGGAATTAGACTGATCAACATGTACCGGTTGTGCTTCCGATGGCATAATGAAGGATGGATGCGGCAATGCTGTTGGTGGTGTTCCATCCGGACCAACCGATCCGTAACCATCACAAAAAAATGACAATGGCAATTGACCATAAAATCCATCATTATTAACTCCTGAAAAGGAAGGAAAGAAGTCATACTTAAATAATAAATTATAACTAAGTGATAAGCAAGAATGTTGACATTTTATTAGGTTAGGATTGAAATGTCATTCGAATTACATTTTAAACTAAAAAAGATGACTTTACAAAATTTGAATCAATCTGCTTAGTTATTACGATCACTCATTCCTTTCGTCCGTAATCGCCTGTAATCATTGATCATCATCCAACAACTGTTAATCCTAACTTCACCTGTCTATTTTCCCATTTATGGCGCAATCTGCAATTAGTCCAACTTCCTTTTCTCCTAACCCTCTCTCTTCCTTCACACTTTCAAGCCTCTCTTAAACGGTACTTTATTACGCTAATAAAATCCATATGAGGGTCTCGTATTTATGGCAATTGACTTTTATCCTCAATCTAAGCCTTAGGGAACAATATCCTTCCTCCAATACCAATCAGCTTCTCACCTATGTGTCACCTGCTTATGCATAATTTTATTCTGATTATGTCCCACACATCCTCTCTCTCTGTCCGTCTGTTTGTCCGTCACTCTGCAAGATTCAGGTTATCATTACGGAAGAGGATAAACGGATGTGAACAATTGAGAAGCATAATCCATTGCAGTCAATGTCACCATACAAAACATTTCTTCCTTCCTTTAAAATAAATCATAATCGAGAGACAAGCTCAAATTTAAATTTGAGCTTGAGTTAAAAAAGAGTTATCACAATTCAAATGGAATAAATCTTTAGTGAGCGGCTACGTTTCAATAAATTCTAAATTTAAGTGATTTTTTTTTTTGAGAAGGTTTGGCAATGTACCATGCGAATATATATCACCCTGCGGAACACATAATTCATCCCTCGCTGATGTTTTACTACGTCGTATTGGCCTATAACCACCAAACCGTAATTGCTTCATTCTTCTCTCTTTACTACGTCGATTTTGAAACCATACCTGAAGAAATTAATTTCAAAATTTACAAAATTTCTTTTTATTTTTGCAAACATTTGACGATTAGAAAACTTATTTCGCTAAACAATTATAATTAATTTGCGAATGTAAAACAGGAAACAACAAGAACTTTTAGCTTATTTTTTTTTTAACTATAAATTTTCATCAATTTTAAATACTTTCTTTTTTCCTAAGCAACGGAATAACTGAGAACTTATTACTGATTATTTTTTAATGTTGACAGCTAATAGCAGCTCGAATTAGGGTAGATTAAACATATTAGTTTGGGATGAACTAATTTCTTTGGGAAGATCAATCAAGATTTTTCTCGATTAGATCAATGTGACATAATTCATTTCAGAGTCACTGTTCAGCTTTCAAGTGATACAGTATTAGAATTCGATTATTGTCAGTTAATTTTGTCAATTACAACATACTTTAAGCCTGTAACACTTCAAGCATCTAGCTTGTATTCCTCAGAACTGCGATCCGGAACTCATACTCTAGTATCTGCCACTACCCTCAACTCATATCTCCGGTATCTGCCACTACCCTCAACTCATATCTCCGGTATCTGCCACTACCCTCAACTCATATCTCCGGTATCTGCCACTACCCTCAACTCATATCTCCGGTATCTATCATCCATCCATCTAATCCACGAATACATCTCTTTACCATTTTAATTTCACCAACAAAATATTATATTAAATTGCATTATTTCATCATTCCCTCAAAATGATCGTTTCGCTTCCAATATTTTGTATAAAAGCCAACGTATGTGTGTGTGTGTGTGTGTTTATCATGGGTGATTACGGTAGTGCTACTGCTAACGGTGTATGTCCCAGGAGAGGCAGGTGTCAATGCAAGGAAGGCAGGAGAAGAGGAGAAGGAATGGCTTCAACGATACTCCATCTTTCACTCTTTTAGCTAAATAATGAGAATTGGGATTGAAGTATAATATAGCCTAGGAACTCATTTATAGGTTAGCAAAGTGGAGAGAAAAAGTAGGATGAGAGGGTTCGGTGGTAATAAGGGAAAAATGATGAAAAGAGAGAGAGAGAGGAAGACAGGATGGAGAAAGGAAGGGATAGGTAGAATGAAGGACAATCAAATTTGATCAAATCGAAGAACTGAGGATGGGATGGGATACTCGTCATGTCTTTAAAGCTTAGCTCTTTCCAAGTGTGTGTGTGTGTGTTATTGCTTGGTTAGCTAGGGTTAGCCAGGGTTAGCTAGGGTTGGCCAGGGTTAGCTAGGGTTGGCCAGGGTTAGACAGACGACATAAACTGATCAGTTTCGGAAATGAACCGTGTAATTTTATAGACCAAACTCTATCCCCTAATGTAATAGCTAAATGAAGAAAAAAGCTATCATCACTTCTTGGAATCTGTTTGTTCCTTTCCAATATTTTATTTACTTCTTCTTCTCCATCTCTCCCTCTCTGTCTCTCTCTTTCTCTTTCCCTCCCTCTCTGTTCTTCATTTTTTTATCTTAGTGAACAATTTGGTTTATAATAATATTAACAGTGATAATGAATCGATAATGGTTACGATAATAATGATAATGAATAATTAATTAATTAAAACATAAGGCATAAGCATTTTAATGTTATATTGCTGTATTTGAATTAGTTTTACACAAAAAAAAATGGAGAAAGAAAGAAAGAAGAAATGAAAAAATCATTTTATACTACAAAATAGAAAAATGAAATGGGAAATTCATAAATTAATTGATACATTTCCATTTAAAGTACTATGTGAAGTTTTATAAACAATTCATCTGTTCGCTTAAATGATAACTTTCATTAAATATTTAAGTTATATGATATAAAATATTAAAGTTATATTTGATATTTCATCTGCCTTCCCTAACTGTCCTTCACATTTACCTTTTCTGTTTCTTTTCCAAACGTTATGTAACTTAATTTTTCTCATATTATAGAATTGAATTTTTGACTCGAATTATTCCTCCACAGAATTAAAATTAAAAGTCATGGTGACAAATTATTTAGTAATCTAAGTAAATCCAACGAATAATGAACTAATTCTGAATGACTTAATGATTAGCGCAAATTCCGGATCAGTTTATCATTAATAAAATCAAGTAAACCAATATGTAAAAACGGAATGATATGATAAGGAAAATAATAATGTACATTATGTTAAAACATGTATATTTCTTATGATTCAAAATAATAAATAACGAAATATTTTGAGTACAGTAATTTCAAGGTCATATATAATACTTAGCTTTAATTATAATAGAAAATTTCAAAAGTTTTGGGCAAATTTTTGAGTGAAGTGATGTGACATTTGACAAATACACATTATATAGTACTGTTATATTACTGCTATATTGTCAATTAAATGTTTTTACAAATTTTAAAAGCTAAAAACGAAGTATTTTAGACACAGTAATTTTAAGTACAGTAGTCAGCAGGTGGTTTACAAATTTTAAAAGTAAATGTAAAACGGAAACAGAAGAGAGCACAAACCTGTATTACTCGCATGTTAAGACCGGTTTCTTGTGCTAATTGCTCCCTGATATGCCTAGTTGGTTTGGGTGTTGAAGCAAAAGCTGCTTTCAAAGTATCCAACTATAAATTAAAATGAAAAAAAGTAAATAAATAAATATAAACGATGTAATACTTTGCATCAAATAACCAATAAAATCCGGAAATAATACGGAATGTGTCAATTCGAATGTTTCTAGATGTTTGGAAGAATCACTTAATTCTTCCAACTCAAAATTTGCTTCAAAAGTCTGATCAATAAAAGCATAGCTAATGATATATAGTAGCACCAATAATCGTCCGAGACGATGAGTGAGTCAGGTGAGTGATACCTGTTTGGCCTTAATGGTAGTCCTCGGTCCTCGTCTCTTTGCTGAGGCCGACATGTCGTCCAGCTTATTTGCTAGCAGTGATTCACCGTTACCGATGATTTCTTGTGGTTCCACTGAATTTGATTCCTCTGCAACCCAAATGACTGCTAATCGAACTACACAAAAAATTATTAATTTTTATACCAATTAGTTCTAATTTATTTCTACGCTATAAATAATTGGAATGTTTGATTAATTACGGATGTTAATTTACCTAAATTAAACGAAACTTTAAAATTAAAAGACAAAAACAAAATTACTTAAAAAAAAATATTTTTTAATATACCAATGTCATCACTTGCTGCATCACAGTCATCATCGATGTCCTCAGAGCCACATTCTGAACTACCACCACCGGAGAATAAATCTATAAATAACGATTTTGTTGTCCGAATTACCGGATTAGCATCATCACAAATGCTATCAAATTATTACTTTAAAATCAAATCTCATTGTGAATAACAATGAATGATGACAAGCAAAGCACATTAATTTTAGTGCTTTCAACTGATTAATTAAGAACGAGCATAAGATACTGATTCGGTGTAATTAATGTTTTAGGAATATTTAACTTATGTATCCATAAGATTTGAATTATTTGAAAATTCAAGACTTTGCCAGTAATAGACAAAGAGTGGCTAGAATATGATCAAGCATCATTAATTTCCTGATATATTTATAATGTTAGCCGTTATTCCTCCTTCTTCTGACACGTTCCGGTTATCCTGAATTGTACAACTGTAGATAATTCGGATTTTGTAGAGCTATCTTATGCTGTTTCAAACCATTCATTCCATTTATCATTGCATTATTTTCTTTTTTCAAAGCGTTTTAAACAGTATTCAAATCTCCCACTGTCTCTTCCATTTTAACTCATTGATATTCAGATAATCCTTTATTTATTTTTATTTCTTCTCTTTTTTTTTTTTTTTTTGCTTTCTCGACTCATTTTAATTAGTACTTAAAAGTTGAAACCTTCATCATTTCTCCATTTCTTAAATCATTCCAACCGATATTAGCACTTTCCTGATCTATTCCAATCGGTATTCGATTATTCAAATATTAACATCTTTCCCTCTCTCTTTATCTTCTTTTTTCTTTAATCACTTTAAATAGTATTGGAAAGGAAACAAAAAAAAAAAAAAAGAAGGAAAGAATAAGCATGCAATGAGGAAAATAAAATTTTGATTAAGCAAAAATTCCCTCTCTAAATTTCTTTTTTTTTTTTCTTCTATTTTTTGTTTTTAACTAATAAAATGATTTTGAATTGAATAAGAAGCAAAATGGTAGTAGCAATTGAAATTTGCCCTTGAAGAAAAATGAAGGGAAGAAGGAGGAATGATAATAGGATAGGATGGCATGGGATGGATAGGATGGATGACAGACATTCTTTCTGGTTCTGCTATCATCATCAATCGATCTATCTATCTATCTATCTATCTATCCTTCCGTCCGTCCGTCCGTCCGTCATCTCAAGCTATCGGTCTGTTTTGTTTTCCGTTTTCTTCATTGAACATAAAAATAAAAATGGTTATCTTTTCATTCATTCATTCATTTTAACCAAAAGGGAAACAAAAACATGAAGAATAGCACTCGTACTCTTCGCCCTTTGACAAATGCGATTTCTTCTTGGGCGCACTTTTTCACCCTTTCATATAATTCTATATTGCACCATGAGGACATCAATGTGAATAAATCACTTATAGTATTACACACACACAAAAAAAAAAGCAATAAAATCAAATATTTAAATGTATTTAGCTTTTTCAGTAAATACTAAAATGCAATAACTACATTGAATTTAGTAATTAATTAATTAATAATAATAATAATAAAACAAGATTAACAGTTGAAACATTTTATATATGTATAATTAATTAATTGGAGAAATTAAAAGGCTGGTAAATATTACTTTCATTTTATCTAATATTTGTTAGATTTTTGTTTTTCTCGAAAAAAAAATGTGTTAAAAAACATTTTTGGAAAGTAGAAATTATTTAAAAATTGAGACTGAATTTGAAATTTTGTACTTTTTCTATTTGATTACATCAATCCTTCAATTCACCATATAACGGGAAAATTCAGTAAAACAGCTGTCTTGATGTTGTTGTTGTTGTTGTCGTTGTTGTCGTTGTTGTCGTCATAAACACGGAAATTGACGAGGAAACCTTTTGAAAAGGAAGGAGACGGTAATTGAATCAAGCTAATCAGGATGCGCTGAGGTCAAAGGGTATGCAGATGGTTATGCACAAATAGAACACATACACACACATACACACACATACATATACAAACAAATGTGATTAAATGAAACTTTCTACAAAAGATCTAAAATATCAATAAAACTATACAATGAGAATTTGTGATTGCAATTGATTGCATTAAAAAACATTGCAATTCTTTATGAAATATGTGAAAAGACTGTTAAATACAAGGATTCCTGCAAATGAGCCGAGAAAAGTCAAAGAAGATGAAAGGACATTAAGTCTAATTCAATAGTAGTAGTATTGGCCTGAATCAGAATGACCCTAGTTGTAGAACAATAAATATTAAGCTAAGTCAAGAAGGTTAGATTGTTTATTTTGATTTGCTTATTTTAATGAGTGCAAAATAAGAAAGTGGAAAAAAAGCAAAGCAAGCAATCTTCTCCCTAATATGTTTGCATAGGATTATTATACAAATATGCAAATTAATCAATTGAAATTTCACAAATTAATTCAAATATAATTTGGATAATTTGCTGAATAAAAAAGAGAAAAAATATAACATAAATAGATGACGGTTGGTGATAATAATGTGATTAATTAAGCTGTTAATTAGGCAGAATAAATCATAATGATGTTAAATGTTACTCAAATAAGGAATAATTAGAGAGCTTTATTCAATTATATTTTTATAAGAAACAAAAAAAAAAAGTTTTCAATCATTTTTCCTCGTTTTATTACTAATTTTTGATTAATCTAAAAATAAAAATCTTTGAATCAAAGTTATATTAGAAAGGAATGAACTAATTTTCTTCGAACACAATAAATCTATCAGAATTAATCATATTTTTGATCTATGATTTGTTTTTAACAAAATTTTTTAAGTACGGAAATCCCTACAAACATAGAATCTTCTTAGAACTTTATTTCTTCTTTCACTATAACAGTAAATCATTTCCGTTCTGATTCACTTCTATTCTTATCCAATATTTATTTCCGGATATCAAACCAAAAGTTTTGCACATTTTCTTCGAAATTTCCGAAAATTTCATGCATACTCATTCTTTATTGATTGCATTAAATGATAAGTGCTTTCATGATATCTTTAATTTATTGTTTTTTTTCCCATAAATTACTAATCAATGAGAAATCAGGAAAACCGGAACGAATAGTATGGAATCATATGTATTTGTTATATACGTATCATCATCATATCATCATCGAAAGAACTAGTCACATCCGCTCTTTTCATCATGAATCCTCAATTTCAAATGATGAGTTGACACATGACACACACACACACACACACATATATATATACATACATACACATACACAGACAGAGACAGACGTACAGACCTATATATGAATATATTTACAAAAAGTTATGCAGAAGAATGCGAGTAGGACTGGACTGTGTGACACGGAGGATGACAACGACGATCTCTCCGCTTTGATTCCTACAGTAATCTCCCGCTGTGATTTGTTGAAAAAAAAAGGATGGGAAGAAGAAATTGTTTTCTCGCTGGTTCGTTCCTCTCTAATCGACGACAATTCAATGAATATTTTTGGATCATAAAAAAGACAAAAAATTATTTTAATGAAAATTGTTTCATCGGAAAAGAAATTATATTTGATCTACTTATTAGCTAATTAATTAGTTAATTAGTTATCTATTTGTTTTAAATACCAATTTATTTGTTGATTGCTAATTGATAATCATTGTTACATTATCAATTTTTGATTGTAAAAAATTAAAAAAAGTAAAATTTATTGAAAAAAAATTTTTTTATTAAAAAAGATTTGTGTTTAGCTATTTTTTAAATTTCAAAATTAGACAAATATTCATTTGATGAATGAATTGATAATAATGTAATTAATTAAAATTGAATTTCAATTTAGTTTTTGTTTCGCTTATCTATTTTTTTCATAAATTCAAACATTCATAAGGAAAAAAAAAATCCAATTCTTTTGCAGAGAGAAAAAAATATGAGAAGAAGAGAGAGGGAAAGAGAGAGAGAGAGAGCGAGAAGCGGAAAGAAAAGCCAAAAAATGAATTTTTGCTTTTTCCTTTTTTTCTCGAATTTTACTTTTCTTTAAAATCAAAAAAAAGTGAACTTTGAAAAGTACTATGAAACGATCTCATCAAAAATAATTGTTATGAAAAGTTGTTAATATATTATAAAAAATTTTGAATATTATAGAAAATTATTGAGAACAATAATTAGCAACAGTGGTTGTAATAAGAAAGAAAAAAAAATTTAGCAATGAATCGATTCAATTTTTTAATAAAAATTACGGAATAATGGAATGATTGAAAACTTTGAATTAATATCTTTTAAAAAATCAACAAAAACAAAATCTTTTTTAGATTGTTTAAATTTATTTTCAGTTAGACCATAGTCCTCATAAAGTCTTTTTTTTTTGTTTTGTGTGAAACAAAATTATTGTCATTAAATTTATTTAAAAATGAATTTGAAGCAATCCTTCTTCTGTTAAAATAATAAATATGCCATATAAATTGGCCAGAAATTTAGAAGAAGTGCTTTAAAATTTTTAATTTTTTTAAGAGCACAAATTTTTTTTAGATTTTAAAGTCTTAAATGTTTTATCGAAATATACTAAATTTACCATTTCAATCAAATTAATTCTTATACGGCAATATTGATTGGTCGCATTTTTTAGGATAACTTTTTTGTTGCAAGAAAAAGGAAAGGAATTAATAATTTTGTAATAAAAATTATTTGAAAGAAATTGCTGAAAAACAAAATCTTAGATTGGAAAAAAAATTCTTTCCAAAAATAATGGAAAATTCCGTATTCATTTAGTAATATTTTCTATGCGTAATTAAAAACTTATACAATTAAAATAGGCAAATCCAGAGGAAGAAAAAGGAGAAGCAGAATCGATACAAATCCGTATTGCATCAATTCCGTATTGCGGAAATTTATTTCGCCTTTGGAAGAAAATAAATATGATGAAAACAAAGAACCATCTGATGATGATAATGATAAAATATATGTGTATATATCCGGCTAAACGTTTTCAATGCATCATTATATACATACTACTATTATGCAAATATAACAAATCCTCAAAAAAAGAAGCGGCGGCTTTTTCAAAATAAAACCTTTTTGAGCTTATCTAATTTGCATATATTTATAACAGAAATTTGCTTCTGGAAATAAGCAAAAAAGCTCAAAACGAGAAGAAAATTATTAAAAAAGAACCAAAAAAAAAAAATGAATGTATTTTAATGTTGAATTTTTGATCTTTAATTTTATAGTACATTGCATAGATTATTCAACTTTTAACCACTTTCAGTAATATTTCAGCTCGGCCATTTGTACTCACAAAAAAATTAAATTTCCCTAATTTGAGAATAAAACAGTTTGAAACAGTTTGAAAATGACAATAAATTGTTTGAAAAAATTTTGTAAATACAACAGCAAAATGCTTAATTCAATAAAAATAATAAAGTATTTCTAAATGTTAAAAAATCTCAGATTAATGAATGAATGAGCAATTAATAAGTTACAAAAAAAAAAGTTTCATTTAAGTAAGAAAAGAAAAAATGAAAAAATTTTCTAAAATAATAAATTTTAATAATAATTCTTGTCATTGCATACATATGCATATAAATCATCGTTTGTTTAAAAATAAATTTATTAATTATTCTTTTTTTTTTTCTTTTTTTACTTCTTAACATGAAGTTTTCGAGAAAGCGGCAAATATTTTCTGTGATTTCTATAAAAAGTTAAAAACAATGGTAGCAACAAAAAAATTAAATCATTTCGAAGTACAATGTTTTATTCTATTATTATATCGATATTAGTAGCCAATAAAAATTGATGTGATTCTGGGAAATGATTCTATTCAGCAGGTGGCTTATGCTCAGGTGTATTGGTGATTGTAGTTGGGTAAGGTAATTTGAACGGTAATTCAAATAAAAGCTATTTAGAGAGGGAGAGAGGGAGAGAGAGAGAGGGAGAGAAAAGGATAATTTCAGTCGCACTTATAAATTCTCATTATTGTTTTGTTTTGTATCTTTTATTTTTCTTTTTTTTATTTCTCTTTTTTCACATTTTTCATTTTGAACTATGAAAGAGATTAATGTCATTTAAAAAAATGTCTTTTTCTTTTCTGAAGGATGTAACAAAATCATTTAGTAACATATTAAGCACTTATGCAAAATAAGCGTAAATTAAATTTTGTAAAATAAAATAAAGCAAAAAATGTTCCACTTTTTTCTTTTAAAAATTTTGTGAATTGAAACAGTAAAAATTTTAGTTAAATATTTTGAAAGTGTAACAAAAAGCATAAAAAAACAATGCAAAGTGAATGACTATAATAGTAAAATTCTTAATGTTATAATAGCAAAAAGAAATTTTTTTTTAAATAATAATTGCAATTTAAAGAAAAAAGAAAAAAATGAGAAATATTGGAAAATATAGATTTCAAATAATAAAATATTACAAAAGTAGATTTCAAATAATAAAATATTACAAAAGCTATTAATTTTGTGTTAATTGTATTTTAGTCATTATTCACAATTAATTTGTTATAGATTAATTTAAGTAAAAGTGAATTAAATGGTGCAAAATGATGCAAGAAATGATGCAAAATAAACATTCATTTCAAGTAATTCCATTTTTTTTAATAGCAAAAAAGAAAAGAAAGAAATAAAAAGTTGAAATTTAAATTTGTTGAATTAAGTAAGTAATATATGAAAATAGTTTTCGTCCTCCAACAAATCCGATTGTGCATACATATTTTAATCGTATATTACTGCAGTGATGTTGAATGATAAAAGATACGGTAGAACTTACTCCAAAACTTTAAAGTAAGTTATAATCAATGTATGAATAACTTTTAGCTTTTTTTTCTTTTTTTTAAATTTTGTAAAGTTATTGTTTATTATTGCCTTCACTAATCAATAAAATTGCATTTTAGCATATTATAACAGTTTCAACTAAATAATTTTAAAAAAAAAAATCTTTTTTTTAAAAAATATGAATAATTTGTATTAAATGATTTTTTAACAAAATACTAATTTACATAATACACAAATTTATTGCATATTTTTCCTTTTTTTTCGACAAAGTATTTTCGAGGATTGTAATAAGCAGTAATAGCGAACAATTGGAAAATCCAAAACGGATTACTGATATGAAAATTTGTTCATTCATGCATATTTCCTATCGGACATAGATGATAGCGGATGGATGAAAGAAGAGCTTGTTGAAAATTTAGATGAAGTGGGAAGTGAAGTGATTGGGTAAGTAAGTGGGTATCATTATAATAAGCTAAACATGAAGAAGGACTCGTCGCACGGGTAAAAACCAATTGAGAGGTAAGACTTTTGGTGACAAATGGTACTACGAGATAGAGAAGTGCAATGAAGCGATAAAAGATGAAAGAGTGGATGAATGAGTGAATGAGTAAATGAATGAATGGATGAATGAATGAATGAATGAATGAATGAATGAATGAATGAATGAATGAATGAATGAATGAATGAATGAATGAATGAATGAGTGAATGGATGGAAGAGTAAAGTTGAGTATAGCAATTGTAACCACTTCTAGTAATCTGATTAAGTTAAGTGTGTTGACAAATAAAACTACCGAAATAGGATTGAATGTATGAACGAACAAAGTAAAATACAAATTTCACCACCGGAAGAAGATTTAATTTTCTTGTTATTTCCGTATCAAAGTACCGGAAATAATGGAAGCCGCAATTGATAGCAAATTTAAAAAAAAAAAAAAAAACTTTTGATAAAAAGTTAGAATAAACTTAAAACTAAAAAAAGAAAGAGGTGAAATGATTAGTAATTTATTTCAAAATTATTAATATGAAAAGATCAATTCTTGAAATTATATTAAAAAATATTTAAGTTTATTATTTCTTATTTAATTTTCAACATATACCTAAAAGTTCAATAGTTGATATATTAGTAGATTTGAACTTCGTCACATTTCCGTAATCCAATTTTCTTTGCTATCTTTACTATTACCACGATATTAATAAATAAATATATATATTTATTTATTTACTTGTTTATTTATTTATTAGATATTGAAGAGAAAAAAAAAACATTGAAATTTTCATTTTGTACTTTAATTTAAATGAATTGGCACTTTTTTAATTGTTATTTCATGCTAAAATCTGATGCTTTTTCTTTTTCTTTTTTCATTCTCTTTTAAAACTTATATTTACTAATTTTCAAATAATACAAAAAAAGAAAAAAAAATTTTTAAAACTAAGAAAAGCTTACCAGGATTAGCAAGATAATCATGCTTGCAAACGAATCGATTCCCATTCAATATATATAGCTGTAATTATATTGCGAATAATTATAATTAAATGTTTTAAAAAGTTGAAATAAAAAAGGAATGGAAAAATAAATATTTTATATATTTGTATATACATTTTAAAATTTTAAAAAGAAATGGATAGGAAAATTTTGAGAATATAATGGCAAGTTTAAGCTTGCTTTAACATGTCCCGCGGGGAATAAGAGAGTTCCAAACATATATCAATACTACTACTACTACTCTAGTCTCGATGACGTCTGTCCATCTATGTTACTTGCAGCCAAACATCTTTCACATTTAAATATCAAACATCAAAAATAAGACATCCTTGAAAATATCACATGAAATATGTTTGTTATAGCACATGCAATAATCAAATTTTAATTTTTTAAACAAAAGAAAAAAGAACAATTTTAACATTAAAAAGTTTGAACAAATTACTATACTTTTTAATAAAGATGATTAATTTAAATTCAAAAAATCTTAAATTTTGAAAATTATAATAAGCAAAATTAGGAATAATGCAATAAATAATTGAATGATAGAAATTTCTCTCATATAAAATTTCAAATTTGATTGTTTTGTTTTTTTTTCAATTAAAATCAAAAAATTTCAGTCAATGAAAAAGATTATGTAATTTACCTGTTCACCGGTGTCTAATTTTTTCTGACATACCGTACACTGGAAGCACTGTACATGGAAAATCTTATCACGAGCTCTCCTCACCAGATCATTTCGATCTAAGCCCATATTGCACCCGGCGCAACGTGTACCATACCTTCTGCACTATTCAAAATCACTGCTAGCATATTCAAATTGATTGATATTTCCTTATCATTCCCATATATAAATCATATTCTATTCAAGATAATTGATTTATTTTAGATTATTATCAGTAGCATTGATAATAATCATTAAATGAACAGTTTCTTTTTTTTTTTTTTTTTTTTTTTTTTTTAAAGCTTAATTTGAAGTTTTGATTATATTAATGCATCGGAATAATATAATAGCTATTAAAGTTCGTAAAATATTCAAGAATTTCAAATCTATCACAGAAAAAATCCATTCCAAAATTCGATTAAAAGAATTGATCGAAATAAATTCAAATATAACACATTTCAATAATTAATTTATTTCAAAAAATTTTTCTTTTTTTTTGATCAATTCTTTTACAAATTCTTTTTGTAAGAAATAATTTTGGAAAATATATTATTATTAATATATTGCTAATTATTGTTATTATTATTACTAATTATTATTATGATTATTGTGATTTGAACTATGGAAATATTCAAAAATATAATAGTTTTTGATATATTCAAAATGATTACTGAAACAAAATATTTAAGCAGTAAACAAAAAAAAAAAGGAAAGAAAGAAAGATGATCAAAAATATTTAAGTGAAAAATGAAACAGAAATTTTTTTAAAATATATTTATTTCTGATTTGTATTGCAAATTAGAAATAGAATACTTATTTTTGGTAGGTTTAAAATTAGAACAAAAAAAAGAAGTGAAATTGATTTGAACTATAGAAATACTCACAAAAATATAATAGTAAATATTTAAAATATGGCTAGAAAAGGAACTTTTGAGAGATATTTGTGGAATAAAATTAAAAAAGCCAATAAGAGAAATGATAAATAAGTGGAAGAGACTGAAAAGTACTGCAATAGATTGGGAAAAGGAAAAAAAAATGTGAAATAAGAGAAGCGGGGAGAAAAAAAGGATGGGTATGGGTAGGGTAGGAGGGAGGAAAAAAAAATGGGAGGAACTGAGGAGGAAGAAGAAAGGGGAATGGAATTAAAGAGAGGGAGGGGGAAGATGAATAAATGGGATTATTTGAAATTTGGAAAAAAATTTTGGAACGGATATTAACTAAACTCCCTTCTCTTGTCTCTTCCTTTCCTCTAAACCCCGCTGTCCCCGCTTCTTCTGTCCCTTTTCCAACCACCGTTACTACTATTAATCTTAGCTAAGCTTTAAGCACTTCCTTTACTACATTTTTTGATAAATTTACTCAAATACCTTTTCCTTTCTCCTTATTCTCTCTCTCTCTCTCTCTCTCTCTCCCTTTTTCTTTTCATTTTTCTTTCCTTTAAATTCAATTTTATCATTTAAATACAGCACACAATAAATAATATATGATGGATTGATTGACAAAAATATAACTGACTGACATTTTTAATCATTTTTTCAACTATTGAAAAAAAAAAAAAAACGAAAAAGAAGAAAATTTGAAATGATTTAAAACTTATAAAATTTTATATGAAATTCAATCTAAAGCTGATATATGCAGTTTTTTTATCCTTTTTTTTTTAAAAAAAAAGATTTTATTTTACTGCTATTTACTTCTTTAAAATTAAAAAAAAAAAAACGGAATATTTGCTTTTTTTTCTTCTGAATTTTCATATTCTAATAGTATTTAAATAACACATAATTCCTTCCTTTTTTCTTCTATTTAACAAATTAATTTAAAAACTCTTTCAGTGATATCATAAAATACACCCACTTCACACATATATTTACGTCATTATTTTAATAGTGTAAACGACTTGGAGCAAATTGTCATCAAAATATGATTACTTAATTTACGAACATATATTTTTTGTTACTACTACTACTAATATTGGTGGCAGTAGCAGTAGTAGTATTAATTATTACTGCTATTAGACCTTAATTGTAAAAATTTTTTAAAAGTTTAATTTGTATTAAATTTAAACAACAACAAAAAAAGAAAATTTAATAAATATTAAACAAAATAAAACTTAAGCTAATATCAATTCAATTACCTTTGGCAATTTGAGTATAATGTAACATTGAAATAATTTAATAATAATACAAATATTTTCACAAAAGCCTTTTCTTAGTATATTTATACTTGCAAAATTTGTAAAATCAAACAAAATGCGATAAAAGATTAGAACTGCTAAAGACAACAATTAAGTGACTGCATAGAAACAAATTAATTAACAACACAACACTATTATTATCCATTTATTAAACAAATGATTCGTTTATTCCTACCTTGCAAAGTCTTTCCGGCATAATATTAAACCATTCCGGGTAAAGCAAGTTTCACTCAGCAGTTCTTTGCAATCTGCGCACTGAATGCAGTTTGCATGCCAAGCTTTCTCGAGGACATGGAAGACATAACGATCCAATATTGCATTATTACAACCAGCGCAAATTGCCATCACAATAACTTTCCTGTTTCCGCCCACACAAATATAATAACCTGATACCAAATGGAAGATATGGATATCTTGTTAATGCATTCAAATTTCAGGATTTACTTCTTCTTCTCTTCCTTTCTTTTTAATCCCGTTTTTTTCTCTTTCCCCTTTCTTTCTTTCTTTCCTCTTGTTTTTCCTTTTCCTTTTAATTCTTTTTGTTTTTTTTAATCGAGAGAAAAAAAATTTTTTTTTTCAAAAATTCCCGAAATATTCTCCGGAATAAAAAAAAAAATTATTTCTTCTTCAGGAAATCAATAAGTAGAAAATACAGCAATAAAATATCATTCCAGAACTGAATTCAGAACGAAATATTTATGAAGGAATGGATAGTTTTGTTAAAAAAAATAGATAAGTCTCGTTAGTACATCATTATCACTACCATCAAGATGAGCAACAGCAAGATGGCGTTGACAGGATGGGACATCCCTTCGTTGTCATCAATGTTGATGGGTTGGCTTTTAGGGGATTGGTCGATGGGTCGGTCGGTCGGTCGATCGGTCGGTCGGTCGGTCCTTCGGTTGGTTGGTAGTTCGTTGGTTGGTTGGTTGATTGGTTGGTTGATTGGTTACTGCTACTGCTGCTGCTACTGATGCAGGAATACTGCTGGCACGGATAGCTCTGGGAGGAAAAAGAGGGCCGGACAGATGAGACAAGGGGACATTCAATCTGCAGTGCGACACCTCCTCCACCACCACTCACGTGACGGGCAAGCCTGTCCCCTCCTCTCCTCCCCCTCTTTCCTCCTCTCGACAACACTACTGAATGAATATATGGATGCTTGATATGGTACGGTAACTAATTCAGAACACTCATGTATATAAAATACACACATACACACACACATGCACAGACGGGTAGACAGACAGACGTGTGCTTACTTACACGACACAAAGTAAAGTAGTTGTGGGTTGGAATGGATTGCGCATAACGAAGGGATTGATTAATTTTATATTATTTCAAGAATTTTCAGCTTGGTGTAGCTCAGAGTGAGCAGTAGTGAGGTGATAAGAAGGGAGGACAGTGATTTGAATTGCAAGTTGTGTGACAAGGGTAGTAGTGATGTAAACGGTGATGTATCTTAAGGAATTTCTGTTTAAAAAAAGGAACATATCCACAAGTTTGTAAAGTTTACTTATTTATTATAGAAATAGGAAAGTTTAAGCAACAAGAAAATTTATGGCTACATAATCACATTAATAAAATAAACATTAGTAAAATAAGTATATATTTTCACTTAATTTCTAGTGCACGCAAATTTATTTTTCTACTTCTTCTTCTATTCAATATCAGAAATGAATTGATATTATTTAATTGAATTACGTAAATTCATATTGAATATATTTCATGTAAATGTTGAATGTCTCTATAACGTAAACAATTATTTAGATAAACACATTTAAATATTTTTAAATTATACCTTACGGAAATTCTTAAGGAAAAAAGAAATGTGAGAGACACCTCAAATGAGAAATTACGATTCAATTAGTCATGGCTTTTATTTCGTTTTGATCCCACGTAAATTACATTACGTTGATAACACTTGATAATACGAATTACAAAAAATTCGATTTAAAAAAATGAAGAAATATTGTGACTGTATCTTAAATGAACTCTTTTGGAAGTGTTCTTGGTTTATTGATTAAAAAACGCATAAAAAATCTTCGAAGGATAAGTGAGTTTATATTACAGTGTTATCTTCGAATAGTATTAATCATTTCAATTGCTAATTTTAACTTTATAATTTAGAAATTACGATAAGACTAGACTTAAACATCTTAAATCTGCTCTTGACAGATAAGAGATTAAAACCTTTATAGCAGTAAAACTAATTTCTAATCTATATTTTTCTAGAACCATGATAATATGACGTGCACGATATTCTTTGCATTCAATATAAGTGAATGTATTATCCCAGTTATCTCAAGTAAAACTTGAATTTTTTTTATTTATATCATGAAAAGGATAAGAATGATATCACAGCGAATAAAAGACAAACAATTATTCCTTTTGAACATAGCCAACAGCGATGAAAATTGTACGAGTGTTGTGAAATTATCACGCAAGTAAATCTTCATTGATATTCAAATTATGCACCTTTCACTAAAATACCACCCAGTAGCTGACATCATCCAAATTTAAGGCTCAAGAAAAATCATAATTCGCTGCTAAAATCTTTGAAATCTGGAGCTTGCTCATAAACTTAATTCTGGGATCATGGTAATAGTAAGCAGGAAGTGTTGATAACTAAAAGAAGAATAGCTGATGAGAAAAGAAGTCAGTCGAGACAATTCCGAGATGAGATTTTCTTAGAAATTGAAGTAGTGGAAATGATTTAATCCTTTGAATTTTCATTTGCTAAATGCTCCTAAAACTCTCTGTTTTAAGACTGCAAACAATTAATGCTATTTAGTAGTAAAACAATGCAAATTTTAATAATCAATCACAATGCATATGCAGAAGAATACTCTGATTTAGCCAGGTAAAACTATTCCTTCACAAATATTTTCTACATTTTATTGAGAAAATTTATCGAAAACTTTTTTTTTTTTTTACATCTTCATAGATGTACCAGAATCCTGCTAACACTTTAAGGATAATTTCAATCAGGAAACTTCTTCAGTTTCCATAAATATCTAAAAATCATTGGAAAAAATGAAAGCAAAAAGAAAGAAGTGAAAGTCAGTACTTTGCATAAGTTCCATGGGATTAACAATTCCTTCGGTATTTAGTCTGTCACGCCGACTGGAATGGTCAGACATACGGTTAGCACTACGAACAGAAATTATATATATACGTACACATCGAAGCCTAATACTTTAATATGTTGATTAGTTGAAAATTTTAGCTAGCAATAAGTTTTAAAATGGATGAAATGTACACCTAGTTCCAACATCCCTTTCCTTAACAAAAAAGAAAAAGAAAAAAAAAAAGCAAGTTTGGATTCGAATCTATACTTTTCTGCGAAAGAAATATTTTAAATGATAAAAGTTCCAAATAATAACAAGTAAAAATTTCCTAGAAGTAAAAAAAAACCCTCTTCTTTTTAATAAATATTCTGCACTCAATGGGCAACTGCACAAAACATACAAATAAATTGATAATTTATCATTATACAAAATTATACATTATACAAAAGATACTTTTACTTAATAATACACGATACTGGTATCCTAATAACCGAAAAACGGTAAAGAACCTTATATATAATCGAAAAACACAAATTTCGCAAGAAAAGATTCTGAAAAAGAAACCTAACATTTCAATAGGAAAATATTACTCTAGATCCGTCACTTCAAAACATTCGCTTTCGATTAACTCGTTCAGAAATCATTGAACGCGGCAAACTGTAGGAAGTAACCGACTTTCACGGTTCCATCCTTCATGCATAACAGTAACTCCTAATCACTCAATTCCTGAAAACAAAAAAAAAAAAAGAAATTTTGCCTAAAATGCACAAAATATCGATTTAGCTTGGCTTGTTATTAATCATCTAATGACAAACAGAATAACAATTTTACTATTCCTGCTGTTTACAAACGTTTGATTAGGTATAATGGAGCTCCCATTACCATTGCGAAAATGACTTAACATCTTTACTACTGGCACTTCTCCTGAATAATTCAAGTCCAATTAATGGAACATAAACCTGTCATAATAAACCTAAAAAAAAAAACACTAATAATATATACAAAAAAGAGAACCATACAAATGTATCAATCACTCTAATAGTAGAATCACTCAACTATTTATTTTTATCTTCTTTCTCACTCGGGATGAGCACTGGCAAAATAGGTAAATCACTGGAACTATCCGAATCACTGTCGTAATTTGAGTCCGAATTTGAATTACTGAAGTGCAAACATTAGACCAAAATTCATCTAATTATTGAAATGATTTTCACAATTTCCAAGGTAAATCAAATAAATCCAACTTTCAAACAATAAGTAAAAGAAATTTCTTATGACTTAAGATGAATTGCAACCTGTAGAAACAATTTTCTTGTTTTATACAAAGCTATTACTCTACAGTTCATACGAGTTCAATTTTTTAAATGGCTACTCTTTTGCTTTGTGTTCTACTTAATATAGGCTAAAATACAAGCCATACCATATTGAAATGTAAAATTCCGAATCATTTTAATTTCCACCAAACGGAAGTAATTTTTCGGCAGCAACAGATCAATAAATTTGACATAACTCAAAGTAATAACTATGCAAACCTTGAAGATGCATAATTCGCCATTCCAGGAAGAACACCAATTACTTTAAGTGCAGACGGAAAGGTTATACTGTCTGACATGACACTTAGCGGTCGTTTCTCAATACATTTGTCCATTCCAACATCACTGAATCATGAGCTGATGAAGCCAAAGAAATACAAAATTTACAGATTTCAAGAAAAATAGTGAATGAGCGAAATTTCTTCTAGCTTAAAAACTTTGGAGAAGATATCTTAATTATTAGACAAAAAAGAATTTCAAAGTCACGGATACCGCTCATTAAATTTTTAAATTTATAAATACAATAATCTTTAAAATTGAAAAAACTGGAGGAAGAATACACACCTTTTTCTTTTAACCGCCATACGAAGTATAGCAGCCTGTTTATTTTCTTTTGGTGCTATACCACCAGTTGATTTTATACGTAAATCTGATATTGATGGTCCATTTTCTTCTACGCTTTTACGTGCTTGAGCACGATCAATTTCGCTCAAAAGCGCTTTTTCTTCCTGAAAATTAATCCTAAATTTAGGTTTCTCGTTAAGGATGAAATCACTCCTTAATTCCTGCAATTATTACTCAACTTTCAAAAAGTGATCGACTGATTGTATCAATATTATCAATTTATGAAAAGTAAAGAATTGCTTCAGCGAGAGATGCTTTTAAACTCACAAATCCTTAACTATTTCTTCTCAATTATTCTCTAAAAGACTTTCCTATTGAATGAATGTTGGAATATTAGTTTAAATAAGCTAAAAAAACATCAAAAGATATCATACATCCTAGGTAAGAAAACTTAAAACCATTGACCTTACTTTTCTCGAGATCTTGCTTGGCTCTAAGACTTTCAACTCCGGAAAGAAAATCACATTCATCCGCATCAAGTCCTCTAACCATATTTCCTGAATAAAAAACAAAAATTTGTTTCAGTGATTCATAAAACATTCATGGTTTCAACTACAAAACACTTTGTGCTTTTTTGTTTTTACATTATCAACTGTCAGATATATTCAGTAAGTAATTATAAAACTTACTAAATCTATGTTCTTCTTCATACTCTGCTTGCTTTCGATCGCGAACTTCTTTTAAACGATCATACAAAGGTCTGCTGTCAACTTCTTCTTCTGGCACTTCTAAAACTCTAATTTGCAACGAAAGATATGCAACTTAAGATAAAGACACCACCAACAGTAACGATCGCTATAGTTCTCTACGTATAAATAATGCAGTTCTGGATCACAGATATTGTAAATACGAATTATCCTGATTGCTAAGTTTTTCGTGCTGTCAAGATAGTTCATTTCATATAATTTTGCAATTTTTCGCGAATTTAGTCTAGAATACTTGCTTAGGAACACTCATCTTCACATTCGACATCAAGAAAATCCTTTTATGCAGCGAATTACTGAATAGAGTTTACAATGAATCATAAAATGAAGAGACGATTCCGTTACTAATAATAATATCAAATTAGTACAAGGAAGAAGCAGTAGCACACCTTCTGGATCAGTAGGTTTCCTAACTTTGTTCCATTCTTCCTGCCGCCGTTTTTTCGCTTCATCCAATTCCTGCTCACTTATGAATCGATCGCTCATACTGGAAAAGAACAAAATACATGCAAGTAATAGAAACCACAAAATTTTATTAGTAAATAAGCAGAGAACGAATTCGATAAAATCGTATTCCGACAGTTATCACATGACAAGTGGTGCAAAGTAATAATAATAGCAAGACTTTATCACTGAAGGATATCACAAGACACATAATGACAAAGAGATCAACAAGTATGCTTGTAATTATCCTAAACATATGTTTTACTAATATGATTAGAAGCTGAAAAAAATTTTTGGCAAATATTTCATTTAAATTTATCCTTGGAATTCAATCAAATTCAATTAAAATGACGGCAAACACCAAAAAGCAAAACAACAAAAATGAAAAAGATTAAAAACTTCTAGTTCCATTTAAATCTTATTCATACAAAGTGCTTTGACTAAATTTTATAAAACAAAAAATTCCACCTTCATAAATTTTGTAATTTCTGACAAAATTTCTCATACCTAAAAAATTTATTCCATTTACTCAACATAATAAAATGCAATAGCAAAATAAAATTCAAATCTAAGCCATTAAGCTACAAATCTTCCTTCCTTAATTATTCAAACATTCGCATTAATTCCAATTCACTCTAATTCGTTCACTTCACCTTATATCCTACTTTACCACTTAATCACTAACCCCTCACACCACTGCCAATATCACATGCCTTTATCCCACGGCCACCCCTCCCCTTCCCCTCCCCCAACCACACCGAACCCCGTTCATCACTTCACCTTATAACCTACTTTACCACTTAATCACTAACCCCTCACACCACTGCCAATATCACATGCCTTTATCCCACGGCCACCCCTCCCCTTCCCCTCCCCCAACCACACCGAACCCCGTTCATCACTTCACCTTATATCCTACTTTACCACTTAATCACTAACCCCTCACACCACTGCCAATATCACATGCCTTTATCCCACGGCCACCCCTCCCCTTCCCCTCCCCCAACCACACCGAACCCCGTTCATCACTTCACCTTATATCCTACTTTACCACTTAATCACTAACCCCTCACACCACTGCCAATATCACATGCCTTTATCCCACGGCCACCCCTCCCCTTCCCCTCCCCCAACCACACCGAACCCCGTTCATCACTTCACCTTATATCCTACTTTACCACTTAATCACTAACCCCTCACACCACTGCCAATATCACATGCCTTTATCCCACGGCCACCCCTCCCCTTCCCCTCCCCCAACCACACTGAACCTCGCCCCTTCCCACTCCGTTATCACCCAATTCCTAACTACCAAGAAAATTTCGCCTTATCGTTTTGTAGTCTCCACTTCAAGAAGCCTACTGTTTCTTGCAACGCAAAAATGGAATGTAAAATGTTTGAAATTTGAAATATAATCTCATTCCTACGTGATAGAAAGCAGTTCACGTGAGAGCGCTCGTTTCTGACGTGGACAAGTTTACAGTGATTGTAACACTTTTGCATTTTCTAGATTTTTACACTAGCATCATACTCTTTTTTTGTTTGAATTATATGTGATGAATCTGAAATATGTTGTGTAAGACGTGGAAACATTTTGCAAATGTCACGTTGGGACTTAGAGCTGCTTTACGTAAGCGTTACGTAATATGGAGAGAGGAACACGTGCAGTGGTTTAATTAAGACGTATAGTTATTTAATATGATGCTGAGCAGAAAGTGAGTTATTGCTGTTAGTGACGTGAATTAAGTGAGTCATTTAGAGGTTATTAATTAGAAAGCAATAAAAAGTTATACTATTCTGTATTATAACTTGCATGAATGGTGGATAATACTGTCAAAAAATTATACAAATCACATTTAGCTTTGGTAAAGTCTTGTTAATTACTATTAGCTGCATAGTGAATTTGCAAATTCTTTTCCTTAAATTACTTGCTGTTTTTGCTAGGAAATTAATTAAGGAAAAAATCTATCAAAGTTATTGGTTATATTTTAGAAAGAAAGTTAAAATTGAAAATATTAAATGAAATTATAAGTACTAATAAAAGTCAAAATTGCAAATACTGATTTAAAAATGACATAACTGTTAATGAGAGCTAATGAGAGCATATTTGATTGCATAACTCGTCAAGCAATTTTGAATCGTTTGCATGACGAACCATGTAATTCACATTTCCTTATAAGAGTCATTCATCTGACACATTTCTGACTTCAAAACTGATTTCTTCATGTCATGTGAATGAAATCTTACTGTTTGTGTTTGTTTTTGAGAAATGAATGAAATCTTGCTTCTACGTCTATGCTATGTCTATGAATGAAATAAAGCTTTTTTTTAGTATTATATTAAGTAATATAGTAATTTCATCGATTCATTCGGTCAGGTTTAAGTGAAAAAAGCTTTGGCTTCTATTTTTTCTCGAATTAGGAAGTGTACGCATCAATAAAGATTGATTTTCGCATCATTTTTTGTGCATGTAAGTCAGTAAAGAAGTTTGGTCAATTAAGTTCATCGTAATTCGGATTGAATTTAGCATTAAATGGCTTCAAAAAATGTCATCTGTGGGGATACGAACAACGTTTCCTGGCCGTTAATTAAGTACACGAAACTTGTTGGAACACGTCTGGTAATCATTTTTCTTTTTCCTGTAGTTGAGAAAGTGGGTTTATTAAGAATAAGGTATCAACTATTGCATCCTCTTTAATAATCAGAAATATATACCTTTTAATCAGAAATATACCTTGATTTTTAGAGTGCTCAATACAAGTAAAGGCTTTCAAAATAGAGATATTATTTTCGTTGATACAGAAAAAAACGAATCTTGCACTGAGTCGTCAGAGGATAAAAGATTTTTTTACTAAACAATAATTACAATATTTCCAGGAGATCCCAGTAGCATCCGGGCAAGTAATGGCTATTACTTACAATAAAAATCGATGTTATCTTAGTGTTATGTTCAATTCATCAACACTTGAGGAGTTTTCATTGGCACCGAATCCTCGTCCAATTGTAAGAAGTAAAGAAAAGGATGTTTTCATTCAAGTTTCTTCAACGGTAACTTTTTCAACTATGTTTAAGTGAAATTCCATATAGGTATAAAATGAGCTGAGAAAAAGCCAATAGCATCGAGCACATAGCATATAATTGCTCCATGTGAAAAACGTAATAAGAATTATTGTGGTTATTCCTAAAGGTGAACTGATCCATTGCATGGATATTTTTATTAAAATAATTTCTCAAATGTTATATTTCAATTTCGACTGATAAGTTTTTCTTTCTTCAGAATGGCACAACGCTGACTAGATTTCGCATAAAATTTGCTAGATTATCAGATCATGCGTCATTTGTGGAATTTATTTCATTCTTTGTTAAAGTTTTACCACCTTCAAACCTGAATACTTCATCGGACTTTAGCCAGCCGTTATCGGTAACAACCACTAATTGATTGTTCAAGTATCGATACAGTTGATACAAATATTTAGACATTGATTTCAGCACTCAGATAAACATAACCATTTACAAATCACTGATTTGTATGTATACAAAGTAAGTTTGAACAAATTTGATATTTTATACGATAATCATTTTGGCATTTATTGCAGCAGGGCTATACTGAAATGAAGTCATCTCAAGAAAGCTCTCAACTTAGTTTATTTAGCAGCGATTCTTCTTCGCAAAAATCGATGTAAGGAACACTTTTTTGTCGGCAAATTAAAAGTATATTTTCAAGTATAGATTATTGCTACAGAATTAATGCTACGTATTCTTTGTCAGGAATGTTACTACCATTCTTCCTCCAGAACCAATCTCTGACTTTTACCCGATGCAGAATCCGACTACCCATACTTCGTTATCTGCGGTACTATTTTTGTTTACTTTTCTTTTCATTTGTTCAGTTTTACTTCTAATTCTTTTTCTTTTTTTTCAATTCCTATTTAATTCTTTTTTTTTTCAATTCCTATTGTTAGTATATATCTTTGCCAGAAAACTAAAAATTTATTTTCTTTTCAAACCGCCAAGTCTAGTGCTTCCAATGCTTCATGCTCAGCAAGTTTTCTTATCGTTTTGGTCTTTTAACCTAAATGTTTGACAATTGAAGTCAAAATTGTACAGAGAATATTTGTTTTAGGATTTTTTCTTTTACATCCATTCTAATTTAAAATTTATCAAAAATTTTGTAGTCTTTATTGGTTAATAAGAAATGAAAGAATGTAAAGCTCATAATTTTCAATGCAATTTGGTAACTCAAGAGTACCTTTTTTTATTATCTATTTATTCTCATAAATTCTTCTAAATAGTGTTTCAGAGTTTGATCGATGAGAAAGTTTATGAAGTGTTGAAACCTATGAAACATCCAGCAGTTCAGCGTTGTTCCGAATCTTTCGAAATCTCTCCAGTGTCTTTTTCTCAAGTTTGTAAATTCCATTATTTATCTGAAACCGGAAGTTTTAATTAGAAATTCAAATTAATTAAAAATTCCTGAAAATTTTAAGGTTTCAAATATTTTGTTATACTAAAGTTCTGAAGCCTAAAATTTAATTTGATAAAAAAAAGCTTATTTAATTCATGAAATTTTGTATATAAACATACAGTTATTTCAACTTCAGAGTTCTGGTGCGAAATTATTGAATTGTTTAAAAACTTCAAAAACTACCGATCAGGCAGTTCCTTTTAGCACTAATGATGTAAGTATTTTTCTTGATAAATATTTCGCTTTAATGATCGCAATTATTTTTCTTCAAAGAAAAAAAAATATCTAAACGTTTGCTTAGTAACTGCTTGTTTTATGTAACAGAATAGTTGGTTTACTGTTTGCCATTTTACATTTATGATCAAAATGTTTTGTTGACTGACAACTATTTCGAAAAGCCATTTCGAGCATTATTATTGAAGCACAGCAGATTATCATTTGTTACAAAATTATATCGAATCTCTTTTTAAGATGGAAATAGTAGCCACTCAGCCTATTGTGGATTTATCATCAGCGACACAGTTTAGTACAGTGTCCGACAAAAATTATGGACAAGAAAATAGACGAAGTGTGGTTGGTGATTATTTTATGCTTTTTCTATTTTTATAGGGACATATCAGAAATCTATCGATAGTTTTCGCATTGTTTTGCCTTATAACGAAGATTAATGCCTTAAAGTGATGTGCTTTATTTGAATGATATGCATTGTCCTTCGAAACATTATAACTCTTCTTCCTTTCTAAGTGATACTAAAGAATTTTGAATTTAATCAGGATCCTTCCTGATGTTGGGACAACCAGAATCCTTCCTGCATTATGTATATGTTGTCTCTAAGAATGAGCATCGTCAACCCTTAAGCATCAGCTTTAATTTTTTTTATTATTTTGAAACTTCTGGTAATATTATTAATTGCCTTTCACCAATTCTGCGTCATTAACACTCTCAGTGTATGGGTAATCCGATTTAATTGTGTGAGAGAATTATACTAAGTCAGAAGTCAGAAGATAGAATTTCAAAAATTCAGTTATGCTAATTTTTGGTTTTTGTAAGGATGTCCAAACTGAGTACTGCTTATCGATCAGCGATCTATTGAATGATTCATCATTACTTGAGGAATATTTGACGGCAAAACTTAAGGACCATCAGTTCATGCAACTCGTTGAGAAGTGTTCACAAGTTTATAACACAGTTTTTTATACAAGGAGAGGTTGCTTTCAATGTTTTCTATCTTTCACGCTCCAGTTTTTAATTCCATTTTTCCGGTTTTGTCAGCGGCATAGTTTGAAAGATAATTTTTCAACATTTATTCAAAAAATTTCTTTTTCTATTTTCTCAATGATATTCATTTTGTGATCATCATGATAAGATATATTTTCTTGCTGAAATTATTTCGATGATATTGAATGCTGCATAACCTTTCAGCTGTATCTGATAATACGTCTTCCATCGAAGCAGCGATTCCTACAAAAATGCGACATTTCAACAAATAATGAATTGATCGTTATTTCATGTAATGAAGTAATTAGTAATAATTTGAACTGCTTAGTGATTAGTAATGATTTATATACATTATTCTAGTAACTTATGTATCTCACAAATTGTCATAAATGCCACACAGTTATATTCGTTGAGTATTTAATCAAGATTTGTCCTTTTAAAAAATTATATTATTTACTAAAGAAAAAATTCATTACATTTATTATGCTAGGTTTCATTTAGTTTTATGCCTAGTTTTCTACTAATGAATTCTATTAATTGGAACTGCTCAGATATTCTAGATTTAGATTAGTGGCTTGACGGTTTTGATTAAAAAAGTGACTTGAACTATGTATTGACTGTGAATTTTGGCCTTCTTTTTAAATTTGATCATTTTAGTTAGTTCCTGTTTTACTTTCTAATTAATTCATTTTCAGGGTTTAGAATGGCAAACGGAATTTGCTAGGCTAATAATAATGCTTTCTGTGAAGATTGTGTATTTTACAAATCAACGTGTTCTATTCAAGATTTTTTTGATATTTCTGTAATATTCATCCATTTTAATTTGATCGGTTTTACTGTTTTTTTTTTTTTTTTTTTCTTTTTTTCCGAGATCGTTGGACTTAATTTTGACTTTTTCGGTCAAAATTCTAATTTATTGGACCGATAATAATCCAATTCATACTGTTGTGTATTATATGCTTTTAATCTTGTTGTTCTTCTCAGTCTGTTTAATAAATGATAAATAAAATTGAAGTTGTGAAAACAACAAAATTTTTTTTGCCACAAATATTCGTATAGTTTGCTATCCTTTACTAGATGAAATAGAAATCATTAACCATAAAAGGAATGAATGTAAATCAACTGTTAGCATTAATGATTTCCTTTTCCATTATCAGTCATTTCCTTTCTTTTTTTTTTTGAAAAGATTAAAGCAAATGAAGGAAGAAAGAGGAAGTGAGCTATTTTTCATCCTTAGTTTATTTCATTTTAGGCTAATTTTCTGGCTTAAATTTATTAGAATCAATGGTTAAAGCATTATTTTTTTGATGCCATCGTTTGTTTATCTATTGATATATTTCGGTAGCATACCTCAATCATTTTATTTTACCTTTTGATTCTTTTTTTAAATTGTTCCGGATTTACTCGAACTATTTTCTTCCTGATAGAACGTTTCAAAACTGCTAGCACTCAAAAATAGCAAAAGTAAAAACAAACAGGAAGGACGAGTGAGAACATATTGAATTAGCTGTTATTTATCATTCGTCAGTAAACTGATTCGTCTTATTTTGACATTCCGGATATCCTAAATCGTAAACACATTTTACAACAAACGTATGTATTTTAAACATTTTGCAATAAAAGGCAGTTTATATTTCTTACAAAAATTTCAGGCGATCCATTTTAAATTCATTCGTTACTGAAAACTGATTTCAATTTTTAAAAAAAAAAAAATAATAAAAATTGGTTTTAAGTTATTATAAAATTGGATTTGTTATTAAAAGGAAAAGTTCCAATTTTTTGGACAAAACTAGAATAAACATGAAATATTTCAATTGCAAATTAAACGAAATATAATTACAACTACTAAAATTGTTAATTTTCTACTACTTTAATATATTAATATTTGAAAGTTGAAAGTATCTCGTCGATCCATCGATAATTTCAACTACAATTAAATGAAATTGAAATGTATTTTTTAATCCTTTGTTTTTTTAATTTTTGAATAAATTTTGCTTTTTTATTACAAAATTCTTTTTTAGTGATCAAAATTGAATTTTAATTAATTGTGTAGATTGAACAGAGTTATGCAAAGCGTAAGTGCAACCTTCTAATGAGAATTTTGTTTGTTGAAATGAAAGTGTTCAGATACATATATGAATTCTTCCGTTTTAAAAACACATTTCACTTCATTCGATGGAAGTTGAATTGAAATGAAATGAAATTCTTTTTATGATTTTTAATGAAACAGGTAAAAGGATAAAGTTTAAAAGTGTCCTTTTGTTTCTCTCTTTTCCAATTTAAAGTAAAGGCAAAAATATGAAAAATTAAATATTGAAATTGCGACTTAAAATCTGAATATTTGCAAAAGTACCATTGAAATGAAAAAAAACCATTAAATATTCATTTCCAAAAAAAATTTTTTTTTTTTTTTTTTTTATTCTTTGTTGTGGAAATGAGAAAAAATCGTTTGCAAATTAAATTCAAGCATTAATTGTAATTGTATTTCTCTAAAATTTTATTCAAATTAAAATCACTTCTAAATGTTCATTGAAATGAAATTCATATTCTCATATTAGCAGAATATCTAACCTTCGCAGATTGTTTTACGCTTTTTTAAAATGAAATGACGCTTTCTTCAAATGAAAAATGCCTATTAATCTTATTTAATAGCCTATAAATTTTATGTATTTCTTTTTAAAAATGAATTTTACTCATAAATCTGACATATATAACAATTGCACTCACAAATTATAGTTGTGCACCATTTTAAGTTCAATTGAATGGCAATAAAAGTGAAATCAAGCAATTCAGAATAAAACTGAAATTAAAAAGAAAAAGAAAAAAGTGAAAATAATTGTTTCACTTGAAACAATTGCTTAAATTAATGCAATTTAACGATTAATTTGTCACTTTTCTGTTTGTTTGTTTGTTTGTTTTTCTTTCTTCCTAATGTGTCCTAATTTGTTGGAAAAAAAAAAGTGAAAAGTTTGTAAAAAATGAGAACTTCGCGTAAATTCATTAATAAAATTTAAATGGAATTAAAATTTAATTATTAAAAATTTGATAGGTTCTTTTCAAATTTTAGTTTTGGTACAAATTTTCATTTAAAAAACAAAAAAAGACAAAGTATTTAGATTTTTTTTATTCACTTTTTTGATGAATTTTGCAACTTTCATTTAATAGCATATAATTTGTTATTCAATTAATTTTATTTTTTTCTTTTTGGATTTAATATTATCAAATTTCAATTTTCGATTTAAGTTTTATGAGTGAAAGAAATTTTTTTTTTCTTGCATAAATGCATTATTTTATTTCTTATAACTTTTTTGTGTTCATTTTCACATTCATCACGCATTTTTATTTTCCGTTTTTCCTGAATGCATTATTTCTGGTTGTGATTAAAATGCACTTTTAGCATTTCACATTTCAATAAAATATTACAAATAATAAGTTTAAACTGACAACGCTTTTCATGCTGAATAATTTCTTTTGTGATAATGCAATTAGTTATTTCGTTTCAAGTTGAGGAATTCTATTAATGATAAGCGTACACGTACACGTACGTATACTAAAATCAAAGCAAAATTAAAATTAACAAATTTGTATAATTGCTTAGTAAAGCGAATATCGTGGCATCCTTTCTGTTTAATTTTTATTTTAAATTTTGATTTCATATCTATTTATCAATTTATTTTATGACAATAAAATAAGAATAGTAAATATTAATGGTTATTTCATTTCATTTCATTTCGTTTTTTTTTCTTTTTTTTAGATCTGCAATATTTGCAATAAACAATTGATAAGATTTATGATAAGAAAAACAATAAAGGAAAATAAATGTTGTCGAAGCATTTATTTGTAATGAATAAAAAAAAAAAAATGGTTTGGAAGAATAAAATTTATGAAGAATGAAATTCAATAAAAAATCAAAAAATTAGAGTTTCAAAGCTTTAATCTTTTCTTTTTTAAATTTTGTTTCTTTTTTTGTGTTTTTTTTTTTTGAGTATTTTTAAGTTTTTTCTTTATTGTCTTATCCAAATATAAGTTATGTTGTAATTTCTTGAATAGCAGTAATTAAAATGAAACATAAAATGCAAATAAATATATTGAAAACTTATCTTAATGCAACTTTTCAAAAACAAAAAAAACTACAAAATTCATTCATATTAAAATGAATAGTTTATTACAAATGTTTTCTAATATTTTAATTAATCATTTTGCTATTAGTCTGTGAATTAATTTTGAAAATAATAAAAAATTTTTTGTAAATGGCAAAGATAGCAGTCCGTTTGGTTCAATTTTCCTTACAAAAAAGATTTTACAATAAATTTTTGATTTGCTAACTGTTACGAATTGTTTACTTTAAAAACAGATTGTTTCATCTATCACAGATTATAAACAGAACAATAAGAGAAAATCATTGGATAATATTAACAAATTTAAAATTTTGCAACTTTTAAATCTTCAAAAAGGACTTTTTCTTTTTCTTTTTTATTTACAAAATTTGCATCACAAATGATTTTTCTAAATTTATGAAATTAAGTGGATTTTAAGCTATTTGATATTCCTAATGATAAATTATGCATAATACACTTGCGAACTTTCTTCTATTTCTATTTTTTTTGCACTAAAATGCTTACTAAAAAAGCGACGCTTATATGTGTGACAAATATTTTTTATATTTCTGATGCAATAACTGATAATAATAAATGAATAATAATAAATAATAAGTAGTAATAATAACAATAACGATAGTACTACCAATAATAATAATAATAATAATAATAATAATAATAATAATAATAATAAACAAGTCAATAAATGTTTTCTCATCCAACAAAAAGAGATTATGAAAAAAGTTCAATTTTTGTTTTTTCAAGAAACCAATTTAGTTTTTCTTTTTTTTCAAAGTAATTCTAGCAATTCCTTTTTATAGTAAGTACATAATTTAAGTTAGATAAGTTTCGAATTTCACATTAACAGTTGGTATGTAATTATATATATATATATGTATGTTTTCTCTTCGCTTTTTCTTCTACTTTTTAGTTTCAGATTTTTTTTAGTTTCGCAAACATTCCAACTGTTTGCCATCTGTTTCATTAATCTTTTTTTTTTCTATAAATAATGAAAGAACAATTCAGTTGCTAAAAAGTTTTATTTTCCCTTTTCTCTTTTTTCAATTTGTATAAAATTTATAAAAAAATTAAAATTGATGAATGAAAGAAAAATACTGTAAAAGGAGATGAAATATAACAAAGTAGAATGAAAGAGACACATAAGAGTGAAGAAG